CCACTTTATCTAGTCTTCCTCCTCTCCAGTGCATCTCTGGAAAGTGGAAACTGGTTTTTCTTGCATGGCGGCTGCTCTGACCTCTGGATCTGAACCCCGCCGATCCGCCGATCTGAAACATTAATTCATTCAGCGGTTCCAGGCAGCATCGCAACCGATAGTTTCTAGCTCCATCGGCCTCGTGTGGTGGAGCCCGGCTTTCTTTCCCTCCCCCTCATTTTCCGTCCCTACAGGGCGACTGCTCCAACAATTGTTCTGCTTCCCCTCCTCTTCTCCCCAAGTTCCTCATTCTCTCCCTGAGGCTGTCGATCTGGTTACGCCCGCCGTCATGGACAAGTTTAAGCACAAGATCGAGAACCTGGAGGAGCAGTTCAAAGGTGTCATTCTTGTATCCACTGCTTTGAATCCCACTAACCGCCCTTCGTTCCGACAGAAACCCACATCGAGGAGAAGGCTTTCCACCTCAAGCACAAAGTCGGCAAGTTTTTCAACATTGTTAACCCCAATCATCGCCATGATGAAGCGCACGAGAAGGCTACCGATGCCAAACGCACCGCGATCTCCGAATCCCACCGCTTCAAGTCGTTCGCGCCCATCCGTGAGGGTAACAAGGTCAAGTGGTACGTCGATGCTCTGGACTACTTGTGGGCCGTCTCAATGGCTCTAGAGGAGGCCAAAGAGACCATCTACATTGCCGATTGGTGGTTGTCTCCTGAATTGTTCCTCCGGAGACCCCCTTTCATGGCCCAGGAATGGCGATTGGATCAGATTCTCAAGCGTCGCGCCGAGGCGGGCGTCAAAATCTACGTGATTGTGTACAAGGAGGTTAGTCTAGGTGTTAATCGCATCGTTGATGGGTTGCTAAAATATATGGACTAGGTCAACCAAGCATTGACTTGCAATTCCGCTCATACCAAGCACGCGCTTCGCAATCTCTGTCCCGAAGGAAGCCCTGGTTACGGAAACATCAAAGTCTTGCGCCACCCGGATCATAACATCTTCGAGAATGCGGCTGACATGACCTTGTACTGGGTGAGCTTAATTCCCGAAGCTTCCGGCAGCGCGTGCTAATTTCATTAGGCGCACCATGAGAAATTCATTGTCATCGATTATGCATTGGCGTTCATTGGAGGTATTGATCTGTGTTTCGGAAGATGGGACGCTCATCAGCATCCCCTAGCCGATGTTCACCCCTCTAATTTGCGGAACGAGGTCTTCCCCGGACAGGAATTCAACAACAACCGCATCATGGATTTCCAGAGCGTGGGCGACTGGCAGGCCAACGAGCTTAGCAAAGCTGAGTATGGTCGAATGCCCTGGCACGACGTCGCCATGGGTGTGATGGGTGACTGTGTGTATGACATCGCAGAGCACTTCGTCCTGCGGTGGAACTTCATCAAGCGGGACAAGTACAAACGGGACGACAGTGTGGACTGGCTGATGCTGGAGGGTCGTACTGGGGACGACGAAGATCTGGTTGCCGTTCAGCGTCCGAAGTTCCCGTGCGGCGAGTACCTGCAGCACCCTCTCACGCCTCTCGACACGAAGCCGCTCGGCCAGCAAGGCTTTGCACGGGCGCAGATCGTGCGCAGTAGCGCCGACTGGAGCAGTGGAATTTTGACGGAACATAGCATCCAAAACGCTTACAAGGAGATCATCAGCCAGGCTCAGCACTATGTCTACATTGAAAATCAATTCTTCAGTAAGATTGATCACCCTGGGCACTGCACCAACTACTAACTCCACCAAGTCACTGCCACGGGAGACAAACAGGCGCCCATTCTCAACACCATTGGTCAGTCCATCGTCGAGGCCGTTGTCAGAGCTGCCAAGGAGGGAAGAAAGTTCAGAGTGATCATCGTGATCCCCGCCATCCCTGGATTTGCGGGAGACCTCCGCCAGAATGAAGCGACAGGCACCCGTGCCATCATGGACTACCAGTACAAGTCGATCTTGCGCGGTGAACACTCGATCTTTGGCCAGATATCCGCCCAAGGCGTGAATCCCAGAGGTAAGGTGAACTTCCGTCCGTACGAGACGCAGGCTGACGTAGCTAGAACACGTTTTCCTGTTCAACCTGCGCGCATTCGATCGCATCAACAAGACTCCTGCTCTGGTCAAGTTGGAGTCCGAGGCGGGCGTGACATACAACGATGTTCAGCGTGGCATTGCCGAGTCTATCATGAGTGACAGTGTCCACCCGGCTATCGGCAAAGAGGGCGACAAGCATGAAGTGGGGTATGACAATGCACAACAGGAGAAGGAGGTTCGTCTCGCACGGCTGCGCAAGTACGAGGAGCAGCATGAGCGTCATAAGGAGCTGGAGGGCCTCAAGGGTAGCGACTCCGTCGCCCACACCACCATGCTCAACGGCGGTAAGATGTCCGATGAGCCGTGGGAGGGCAATCCCGAGGACGAGAAGGAGAACTTTATCCAGGAAGAGCTCTACGTGCATGGAAAGGTGTGCATTGTCGATGACCGTGTAGTCATTTGTGGAAGTGCCAACATCAACGACAGAGTATATTCCCCAATATCTGAACCTCCATAAACGCGATACTAACCGATAGCAGTCCCAACTTGGTTACCATGACAGCGAGCTTGCTATTGTTGTCGAAGACCAAGACTTCATCGGCAGCATCATGGATGGTAAACCGTACAAGGCCGCCCGTGTTGCTGCCACCCTCCGTCGCCAGCTCTGGCGGGAGCACCTTGGCCTGCTGCCCGCTCAGAGTTATGACGCTTCTGAAGACCCGAACGCAAAGCCCCCCTACATGTGCATGAACCACGTCCTCGAGGGGCCCGAAGACGACTTTGTCACCGATCCCATGAGCGACGAGCTCTGGGAGATGTGGACCGGCCGCGCCACCGTCAACACCGACATGTACCGCATGCTATTCCGCGCCGACCCCGACGACAACGTCCACACATTCGACGACTACGACCGAATTTGTCCTCGCGGCATCAAACAAGGTCACTTGTTTGATCCCTTCCAGCCGGTCAATGAAATTCGCGAGAAGCTGGATAAAATCAAGGGCCATCTGGTCTGGATGCCACTGGAGTTCTTGAAGGATGCCAACATGGCCGAGCCTGGATTGGCGGTGAATCAAATCACAGAGGTGATACTACCTACCTACCTACCTACCGATAAATATGTGAAACATAAGCTAACGTATCACAAATCTCATCTACAGAGTATTTACACCTAGAAAAATTTCGCCTCCAGTACGGAGTACCGATTGTCAATCGATAGGTTGTACTTGCTTTACATACCTAGTACCTAATAGTACATACCAATATCATACCCGCCATCGACGCCACAGACTAAACCTCGAGAGGAGCAAAGAAAAGGAGAAAAACGAACCGTCTAGAAGATTACCTACGTAGAGACTAGACTAAACTCCACCCCGAAAGGGCCCGTGCCCACACCACGGATCACCCAGCCCTCCTGCCATTCCATCCCGTCTCATTCCCATCCCATCCCGTCTCATTCCCATCCCATCCCAAGCCCATGGTCCATCCATCCATTCCATAATCCTAAATCCATCTTACTTAAATTCTAATGATCCATAGTGCCCAACTCAACCCACCCCTCCGGGAATAGTAAGCAAACTAAGCGCAAGAAAGTTTACCTGCGATGCGGAGTACATAAACCTTCCACGTAAGGGGTAGTAGTAGTAGTAGTAGTAGTAGTAGTAGTAGTAGTAGTAGTAGTAGTAGTAGTAGTAGTAGTAGTAGTAGTAGTAGTAGTAGTGGGTGAACGAGAAGGGGGAGAGAGAGAAAGAGACCGAAAGACTGAGGAAGTGAAAGAGATACACACAGACACATACATACCTTAAGACCAGTAACCAAGTACGGTACATACATACATACATCCCCAAGCATGTCTATCCCAAGTATCTTACCCCCGTGAATCAAGTAAAAAGTGGATAAATCATCCATACCTACCTACCTACCTACCTACCTGCCTCACAATTTATCTAGAGAAATTCCTGAACTCTAATTGCAAGGGATGTTTTATCCGGTCCACCCCTCTCCCCACACACGCATCTCGTCCTATTGCCCACTTTGGTCTTCGGGATTTGATATCTCACATACTTTCGTGTAGGGCTTACCGTGCAGTAGGTAGGTAGGTAGGTAAGCAAGCCTCACTTATTACCCCTTCCATACTTACATTTACATACGCATATTTATTTCATACATATGTTGCGCATGCATGACAGACAGACAGACAGACAGATTGATAGTACGTAGCCCCGTTTATGTTTCCTGGTTATGAATATCTACTTAGTGTACTATGTATGTAGATGATTCAGTAGTAAAATACTAGTGATACTAACTAAATAAAAACAAAACCTAAAAGAGAAAAAGCAGACGACCTTTTACACGCCACGACTATACTCAACTAAACTCATCTAAGTAATTGTAGAGTACTACTACTATCCGTAGGTTAGGTACTAGGTAGTAATATGAACTAGTCCCAATTTCCACTACCTAATCAACACTACTAACAAACTAATCATCTATACTATCCTCAAGATATTATTATTTTTTTTTATTTATTTCTCTTATATTTTCTTTTTTTTTTGAATTGACTTCCGATACATCATGCAACTCACCCAATTTGGTAAGTAAAGCTGTCGGACTGGGGTAAGTAAAGTAATGGTTGAGTTGGTTGGACTAAAGTGCAAATTTCCTGTTTGGTGGTGTTTGGGGTGTGGGTGTGGCTCATTTTTCCCTATTTTTGCGGGTCGGAAGGAGGCCGGGGCGCGGCGGCCCACTTTTGCTTGTCATTAAGGAATTGTCATTATTATGAGTGGGGAAATTATTGACGGGGATGAAAATTTAATTTGGGTCAAATAGATAGATAGTTTGTTTATCGTAAAGTATGTTAGTTATTTTATGTCTGGGGATCTTCGTGTGTCATGTCTTTTTTAAGCGTATTTGGAATTTGCCAAGGGAAAGGGAATGTGTCTACGGAATTGTGGTGGGGGTTCCAAAATGCCATTAAATTTGCGTTGCCGCATTGTATTCCTGATAAGGATCTATAAGTCATCTCTATCGCACAGAAAAAAATTATTGGAAAAAACAAACAGAAAAAGTAAAAGGGCCGAGTGTAATAAGACAAGGGATGCAAGGCTCTCTGAAAGGAGGCGCCGGCATAGCAATTGAATCACCAACAGACTGTTTTGTTTCCGAACCCTGAACACCAGAGCGATGCTGCTTTTTGTGGCCAAAGTAGATCGTGAAAATATGAAAATCCGGCCGTGGCTCAGCATCAGAAGGACTTTTGGGACTTTTCGTCGAGAAAGCAACATAAGGAACGATGGCAAAAGCACGAAAGGGGGCGGAAAACGAGTGGAGAGGACAGTATTGGTGGTGGAGAATTGGGGAAAACACTGCTTGCATCGCATTTGCAGCTACGAGTCGAGGTGCATCTCCTTTGGTCGCGAGACATCGAGTGGTATCAAATCATCATCAGGTAGCCACAGCTTTGATGTTGATCGATTGAGATCTGGCCCGAATAGGAAGATATCCGATTGGGCCAGACCACAAAGCAGAGGCGCTCTTCCGTCGACCCTACTCCGATCTGGGACGCCAACAAACCGAGGGGACAATGCGCAGTATGCCGCAGAGATGGAGAAAAAAATTTTTTTCAACGAGTTGCAGGAGAAACCGAACCGAATGGAGAAGCAAACGAAATGGGAAAATTAATTAAAGTCAAGTCGCGCAAGAAAAGGCTGATAGGATTTCGGCAGGTATGGCGCGAGGAGTGCTGCAGAAGGCTTTTTCGAAGTTCCAGGAAATGTACGAATCAAACTAGGAACAGAGGTTAGCTTATAGTTTCACAACTGGTACACAGCCTTCCACAAACTATCGCAGTCAGGCCACTTGCACACTTACCGATTAAGAGGCAAAAAAGCATGCGTGACGTGATTCTTCTTAGCCTTTGGCGGTGTGGCAGGAGTTGCAGCGACAGTGGTTACAGATCTTGCAGCGCCAGATGGCGACAAACGGACCGGAGTTGCAGTCAGAGCATCGCCAGGTAAGGATATTCCCATTTGTCGCCTGCACGATGACGAAAACGTGACCCGAGCATTGGTTGGCCATTTCGTTGCTATTTGCAGCACGTTAACATCCTTCCAATTTGCGCGTTGCCAGGAACTGGAAGTTATAATGAGGATCCTTCACATACTAATTTCTGTCTCAGAGATGGTGGATGTAGAACTATGCGTGAGCTGCGCAAGATTGCAGTGATACGAGATATCTCTCGATAGTCAAGAACTGGAGCTGAAGGGATGGAACGCCTGGAGCTTCTTCACTTGCAATGTAAAGTAGACGGCCTGTTTTGTCCCTGAATGTATAGACTGAAGAACAGAATGGAAGACCTGAGTGAGGAAGGCGACGAAAGAGTTGTCTGAGAGTCAAGGAAGAGAAGAATGAAGGGAAGAAGGATGTAGTTGTTGATGATGGATGAAAGACAAAGGACGTTTGGGATGCGTCGCCATAGCTTTATATAGAGGACGAGGTTTCAAATCGGACCAGCGCATGAGACATCTCCTTTTCAGTGATGCGATGGGTGCATTGCTTCGAATTGACCGTTGTTCAGAGAAGGTCCCAGCAGCTGTACGAGGTCCAGACTAGAAGCAGGTCTGCTGCATGGAATGGCTCTTTCCGTCGGCAGGGAATCGAACTGCAAGTACCCGAGGCTGTCGACGGGTCATTAATTGAGTGGAGAAAGCGACAGAGAGTTGAGTGATGGATAACAAGCGACAGGGAAGAGGGTGTTGTGAGGAAAGGAAAAGATCCAGCGATGTAAAAGGAGAATGTGATGGACAAAAACAGAAATATGGGGGAGGTTGGTACGTAGCAGGAACGAGGGTGTGCAGATGAGGGGAGTTCGGGGAATAAGCTGTCAGAAAAGGTATTAAGTAGTTAGTAAATTATAGTAGGAAAAAGAGCAGCCCTCTCTTTTACTCTTCTGTGAAAGAGAGAGAGAGAGAGAGAGATCCATGGGTGAGTACCGGACCCCGAAAAGGCAAAAGAAAGCACACGACCACCTACATCATCCTCACGATCACAGCCCATCTCCTATCCTAGTCAAACCGCAAATCTGGGTCCTAGGAAGCGCGACACAAGCTAATCCAGGAACCTAGTCTAGAAGGAGATGATGGAAGTGATATATCGCCGCCAGTGGACCCAACCAAGTGGGTGCGGAACTGTAGGCGACAGCCGCTTATTCCTTAATTACTTTTTCCCTTTTTATTTGCCCTGGGGTGTGTTGCTTTTTCTCTCTTCTGCGCTCGCATCTTTAAGCTTTCGCCCCTAAAATTAGGATTTCCCCAGGGAGGAGCTGAGGTTCGACCCGGGAATGCCTGGACTCTGGATCTGGACCCCCATTCCCGATTCATGCGCTTCCGTTTGGGGGCTGAGCTGGTTCCAGCCCTGCGGTGCGCTGCGACTTTGGCGTGCAGATCTGCCCCGACGCTGTTTAATCTGTCTATCCTGGTTCTCGAGAGCATCGGACATCCTGATGGAGCATTAAGGAAGTTCTCATTCTGAAGATATTTTGTTATCTTCGTTGTGACAAATCTCCTCATCTCCACCCTAAATGTCCATCTTGCCCAGTCTCTAGTTGTACAGAGACAGAGGCGGACGACTTCCAAGTTCCCACCAGGTTGATAGAGAATGGGGCACGTCCCAAGTAAATATTTGGGGAATGATAGACAAGTCTCTGTCACTTCAGTCAGAAAAAGTATCCCTGTTTGTCACTCTGGATTTTCGGAAACGTCATGCCCAGCCGATTTGGGAAAGCCGGGCTATCTTAGTGTCGTTCATGAAGACCAGCTCGTCTCCAGTCTATCTGATCAGGATGCCCCATCTGCTGAGCTTCCACCAACTTGTTTGATCTTGTAACATCACCGAGCTGCTCCGGTCGTCAAGTTGACAGTGTCTTTTCTGTCTTTTCGACTCCTCTCACGGCCAACGACAGGAGCACACATCGGCATCCTCTTACAGTCGATCCACCATCACCAGCAGGGATTCCCCGACCGGACAAACAACAAGTACACAGGCACATCTTTTCGCCTTCAAGCCAAGATCTGCATCGCATCGTCCTTTCATTCATACCCCCCTTCGTACCTTCTACTCCTGCACCCGTCCTTCCGTCTGCATATCCTTGACTCTACCTGCACCCCCTCTTAATGTACGATGCAAAGAACGTTCCGGGCGTTGGAGGTAAAGACTTCCCAGCCAACTAAATTCTTTAATGATTTAGTCTCTCTACCTTCTCGGGCTCCTTGCTGATCCGTGGCCGATCGCTCCGGGCATTTGCAGAGGACCCGCGGGCCCGCCAACCAGGTACGTTTTTGAGTGGCTTGCTGAAGGGATTGTCCAGTATCCAGCGATACCTCTGAGGTTATTTCAGCCACTAGCCCACTAACCTTCGAAGTGCCACAGGAATTTCGGAAATGGCAAGCTGAGGTATAGAAAGACAAGGAAAGGGAAAGAAGAAAAACTCTGTCTGGTGTGACAGAAACGGGTCTGCCAATCCTGCAAGCACGTACTTTTGTCCGTTGCGGCTGGCCTGTTTCTCAAACCGTCATCGCTTGCTAATTTCCTCACTTTCAAGCGGAGGATAGTTGACCTGCGGGAAATCTTCCGCTCACCCAAATTAGTCGGACGCGTCGATCCCTCCAACTGAGTCGCTGAATGCCAGGGGTCCGCTCCATTTGGAGGAGCTAAATGCTTTGGCGCTGGATCTAGTCGGAGAGCCGGCTGGTGCTAAGGAGTAAATTCAAATTGCCGCGGCAAATCACAGGCGCTCGTCGCTCCAAGTTGACATCTCCGGGGCGCTCGCACCTAGATTCACTAAGCGTCTGAATGCCAATGAACTCAATGGGCACGCGGTGCATCAAGTGCCCCGAGCTTTCTCCTCTTATGCTCTTATTCAAGCATGACACTGGCTTGCAACTCGGCCCGGCGCTCAGGCCAATTCTTACGCACATGGCTGGCAGTTGTCATCTGTCGTGAGATGTGTGACTGTTACATAACCTTCGTACGGCATAAGCCTGGGTCGAAAGCACTGGGCTCCCTGCTGTTAACTCCCGGGGGATGTTTGAAGAGCCACGCCGCGGGTTGACAGGTGCGGCGTGTGTAAAACATCCGAGTCGTCCATGTCGCGCTCCACGGTTCGTGGTCCATGGGTACCCCTGTCGGGGACCAATAAACAGCAGAATGCAATAGGGTGGTGTATCGCCGGACTGGACTTGGTGCTCCGAATGGTTGACTTAGTTTCACGGGCCTAGAGGGGGACAGCATCCGCTTTTCTTCTCAATCAGGTAATGCTGAATTTGTCCCTAGTCGAAACTCGAACATTTGGCTGCACGCTTCCCTGATCTACCGGGAGTGGCTCCCGGGCATATTTCTGGTCCGGTGCGCTTCGGTCCCTACTAGTGTTGCCCCTAGGACCACTTGGTCTCCCATGGTGCTGGGCTTCGAGCTGCGTAGCCCGGTTCCGGTGACGCAAGGTACTTTTGGCTTCTCGATACGTCTTTTTGTTACCTTCCTATAATCAGGGCCGGAAGAGCGCCGCCCCCACAGCCATCGAGTTTTTCCCAAACTCCCATTTGTTCGATGACCTGCCAAATGTGTAGTCCTGCGGTGGCGCCTGTAAACGAGCTGTTTTGGACCCATGTTCGACCGGGCTAGAACAACGGCATTCTTTCCCACGATTGTGATATCACGTACGAAGGACCGGGGAGAGTTTAACTGACCTGCCGTAGCTAATGTCTGCACGCAACTGCCAATTAGTCAAAGTTTGCATGTCGGGGCCTCTCTCAATGCTTCCGGAAGGTGTCATCGGCATAGGATACCATCCATCACCATTTCAGCTAGCGGAAGGCACTCCGATGTCAAGTGCAGCAGAGAGTGAATGCTGCCGCCAACCAACATGTACAAGTTGTGCGCTCAGTACTCGGCCTCATGCACACCGCTATTGTTGTCATCAAACCAGATCAAGGATACGGAACATATCCACTGACTGGAACCGGGCAGCTGTCCGGCGGTTCCGCTGTACGACCTTTGATAGCCATTGAACGAAGACAAGTGCGAGGCGTCCTTCAGCTGGCTCCTGTCAAGCCAAACTACAAAAACTATAGGCTGGATCTCTCTTCGCTCTCAAACCTGTCAGACCGATGCCGAACCTCGAGTAAGTTCCACCCGGAGGCTACAGACATCCCATCCTTGGGAAGCGCTGGAGCTGAGCTGGCGGACAGTCGAAACTAGCACGCCACAATAGATCGATTCATGACGAATGTGGAAGCCAAAATTTGTAATATTCAAAAACCTGTACATGCTAAAAGACTACACTTAACGTATACTGTAATGTCCGAGATGTTCTCTTGCATCAATTCCACTGGCCAAGGCCGCAGGACGTAGATCCAAGAAACTGATGCCTTCATTCCTCGGCCAACCTTGTACAGCACCACTACCGTCACACACCGAATGGCATGAAACGATAATGGGCCGGACAAGATTGGACAATTGATCTCCCAACGCTCCGTTAAGAACATCTTGTGAATTAGGTCCGGAGACAGATCTCCTTTCCAACAAGATGCTCTTGCAGTACCCAGAGTGGACTGCATCGCTGGTGTAAAGTTGTGACGTGTTCCTCAATTTCCGTGCCATTGTAAATAGACCGGCCTGAGCGCACCTACGCAGAAAGCAGAAATGACAAGGGAAAATGACAGCCTTGATCGCAAGGGCTAATGAGACTAGGGTTCCGGGCCCCGTCCTGATAGATTCGACAGTAGAGCTAGTCTTCATAATCGACGTGTAGCTGGCTGAAATGTACAGCCGTCGCATGACCACACCGTATGGTTGAATTTAGCTTCAGTCAAGAGTTGTGAGTGAGAAAAGGTATCCTGATGTTATCATCACATAAGATGATGCTTGCGACACATAAATCGAAGCAAGGGAAGTCGCCATGCGCTGTACGGAATAAGGAAGAAGTCATCAATTTTACTCGTCACTGTCTTTAGTCATCATCTTACCGATCTCCGGGCTTGTTATAGAGCTGCCAGGGATACTCGGGAGGGAAGTTGGAAGAGAAGGGAAGGCAAGGAGCGCCAGGACCCTTCGGAAGCCGAAGGTGAGGCCAATTGACAACCCCGAATCAGTCAGTAAGGTGGAACAACGCCGAAACACTTGGGCAGATTAGCAATCATCCTGTATCCAGATTCGGAAGGCGACTAACCTTTCACCGTAATGATGGCGTCTAATGCTTTCGGCCAAAAGACTCGAAATATCAATGACAATCAACTTCTTTGACCTCTTCACCACCTGCGGTGGAACAGGGAAGCTGTTCGTGACGACAATGTGGTCAATCGACTCACAAGCTTCCATCTGTTCGAGGGATTCCTCCGTGAAGAGGCCGTGGGTGGCAATGCAGTATACCTTCTTGGCGCCGCCCTTCTTCACTACAGTTTCTGCTGCGGCAGTCCAGGATTTACTCTTGTCGATCATGTCATCGACAAGGAACACGGTCCGATCACGGACGTCGCCAACCAAGGTGATAGTCTTTTCTTGCTCAACGTGCTTTCCGCTGCTGCCCTCTTCGTCTGAAGATTCAGCAGCATCGAAAGAGCCACCTAGAGCATGGTCGCCTGGAAGGGAAGAAGTGTTGGATATGAGAGAGTTCACCATTGAGTCTGGGACCTCGGGCTCATCACGGCTGGCACTCTGCCCCGGAGTTGTTTCCCCTGAAGCGGGATGTGAAGTAGGACCGGTTGACGGGTAGTCGTCGTCCACAAGATGACCTTGCACGAGCCGCCCAGTAATGACCTCGCGCACTCGCACATCAGTATACTCATGTGCAGCTTCCAACTCCGAAGGACGACGTGCGCCTGATGGGGTTTCAGGGCGCAAGTAATTTGCCGCTACGAGAGACTCCATGTTGCTGTTTGGCTCACCCCGGGCATCTTCGGATTGACTGCACTCACTAGTTCCACTTTGTAGGTGGAGAGTGAAAGGGTCTTGATCCTTGTCCTTGGCGACGGGAGTGCTCTCTTCCTCGATCGAATCGAAAAAGACAGTACTATCTGCCATACCGAGGGGTACTTTCGGACGTCTCCTATCAGTCGTGACGATGCCAAAGTTGAGTTTGAGTGTGTCTGCTAGCGAGGTGACACGCTTGGTGCCTCCTGCATTCTTGCTGACCACAACAGCCTCGCGCCAACCCGGCACGTTCATACGAATCCAGCGGGCGATGAAGGGCTCGGCGAACAGGTTATCCACGGGTTTTCCGAAGAAGCCCTGCATTTGGGATGCCTAGCGATCACGTTCATAAGAACTCAATCCATGCCACGCAATGAAGCATTTGCAAAACCACGCAACAGACAGATCGCCTTGTGACTCACATGCAGATCCAAAGTTATCACATGGTCCACCCCAGCGATCGAGAGAAGGTTAGCCAACATGCGGGCAGTGATGGCACCACGGTGGCTCTTCTTCTTAGACTGGCGGGAGTACGGGAAGTACCTCGTTTGTGTCAGCATCAAACGTGCAGCCATGGAGTCAAGTAAAAGCATACGGCATGACCGCTGGAGGTAAGAAGTATGCGTCAGTCAACGACGATGGATTGGCGGGAAGTATATCCGCGCATACCTGTGATAGATTTTGCGGACCCGCCCTTGCAGGCGGAGATCATAATCAAGAGTTCCATGGCACTGTCATTGATCTTTCCGCTGCCGCTCTGGACGATGTAAACATCTTGGTTACGCACCGACACCCCAATGTTTACGCTGGTCTCGCCATTGCTGAATTTCCCAAGATCGGCACGAGCCGGCTGGGTCCCCAGGCGTTCACAAATCGTTTCAGCCAGAAGGGGGTGGGATGTCCCCGAGAAGATCTGTACTCCCCGCATCTTAGGATTGAGATGAATTAAAAGACATAGACCATTGATAAAGAGGGAAGAGAAGACAAGGTAGGCAGCAAGATCATCTCAAGCGCCCGAAGGGAGGGAAGCAAGGAGGGAAAAGAAAGGAAAAGTGAGAAAAAAAGGGAAGGGAAGTGGAAGTGGAGGGAAGTGGAGGGAAATGAAAGAAAAAGAAAATTAGTCCGGAGTTTTCTCGTCGGGAAAAAATTCAAGTGGAGGTTCGAAAACGAAAGCAGTTAGGGTGCCTGTGGCTCCCCGTAGCAGAGCTCCCCCCACTTCTTCCAAACCCTCAGAGCCCAACGATAAGCTCCCCTGTAACCCCGCGGTCAAGTGAGTTGACCTGGACATTGTTCGATCATGGCACACAAATTCCCTCCCGTGCAAGGAGGAGGCTCCCTCATAGTCGCCTGGCAGGCGAAAGCGAAACATGTTTTAGTTGTCGGTGGTGGAGAAGTGAGCTTCCCCTTGCCTAGACCGTTTATCCTGACTCTTTCACAATATATAATTGTTGCTTACCGATGATTCCGCCCCAGGTGGCTGCAGGTCGCATCCTCCACGCCCTCAATGCCGATGCCAAAGTAACCGTTGTCTGTCCTACCTCCGGCCTCAATGATGAAGTGGCATTCAGGGTAGCAGAGGGGCAAGTTAATCACATCGATAGGAACTTTGAGGCTGCCGATCTGGACGGCGCAGATATGGTACTCTGTGCCATTGATGACCCAGAAGCCTCGACACAGGTCTGGAAGCTCTGCAAGGAGAAGCGTATCCCTGCAAACATAGCTGATGTACCGTCGGAATGTGATTTTTACTTTGGTAGCGTCCATCGCGATGGGCCATTGCAGGTCATGGTCAGTACCAATGGAAACGGACCTAAATTGGCCAGCATTGTTCGCAAGAAGATAGCGGAAACCCTCCCCGACAATATGGGCGCAGCTATAGACAATGTTGGTAAGCTGCGGAGGAAGCTGAGGGATGTCGCCCCAAATCCTGACCAAGGCCCGAAACGAATGAAGTGGTACGCTTCTCCCAATCTCGCCATGCGCTCGGTACGATGGCCTCCCCCCCGCTGATCGATAATATAGGATGTCTGGAGTTTGCGAGTCATGGAGCTTAGAGGATCTTGTCCAGATGGACGACAGTGACATGGACGGTCTTTTAGCCCATTACGCATCCGGGAAGATCCCGACCCTGAATGAAGTTCGGTCCTCTTGACCGAAACCACTCAGTAGAGACCTTGTAGCACTATAACTGATGATGGCTTCGTGAAACCTACGACAGCTCACACATGCCAGTTTATTGATGATCGCTCAGTGACTCAGACCTATCATTAACGGAAATGCTTTCATGATAATTGCTATTTTGTACATAGAATATAAGCCCATTGGAATGAACAGCCTTGAAGGGTGATAATTGAAAATGATGCAATGCTGTGCTAGGTCTACATTCAATACTCCTCCAGATTGATAAAAAGCCCTACGGTCCTGTAGGGGAGGATATCCAAGAAAAGCGCAAAACGAATAGTGAAAAGAACAACATCAACACAAAACACTCAAGCACTGGTCTTCTCGTCTAGTGTCCCCCGCTGTGTTTGCGGGAGTACTGACTCGACACAGAGTTCCTGTGACCAGACTGCAGAGATGTTTGACCGGCAGGTATACCTAGTTTCGCCTCACCGATTCGGCGCAGCAAGGATTGGAGCGAAATCCGAATCTCGGGGTTCAGGTCACGAGCCAAGAGATCAACGGCCAGTGGGTAAAAAGTCCCAATGTGCTTGTCGAAGCCCTCGGAAGGGAAGTTGGTGTAGCCTTCGAGGACGTCCACAACAACTGGACGCCAGGCTACCACATTACGATGTTGAGAGTCTTCGTCAAGACGGACGAAGCTGCGAATTATATCCGCACAGAGTCTGGTGCAAAGATGACTGGTTAGTAAAAAGGCCTAGATCACTTGATATTGACAAAACTTCGCTTGTAACACTTACGGAATCAAAGCCGCCTCTGTTTCAGCACGGCTGCTCCTCCGCTCCTCTCTTTCATCGTGATACATTCGGAAGAGGATGTGGACATAGGTGGCGGCACTTCCACTCTCCTGTTTGAGGAGGTTGGGAGGTTGCTTCATGAACCCTTGACGCCAAAGCTGCATCCGCAATTCCTTGTCCTCGTTGAACTTCTTCGCGAACTGATAGCTCTTCTTCAGCAAACCCATCAGGCGAAGCAGCTCGTGACTGGGAATCTGGGCGTAGACTTTATCGTTTGAAAAAAGTTCATGGACAGTCTCAATCATGAGCAGCTGGAGCACACAGTTGGTTATGATACGGTTGAAGAACCGGCGTCGAGCCACGGTCACTGCGGCCGGCTGTTGCTGGGCGTCTGCCTGAGGTCTGTAATCCTCCAATGCAGGAGTTGAGGCCGCAGGCATGTCACCCTCCTCGTGCTCAGAGGTCACATTCTGCGTTCCATTGGCCTTTTGCGCTTCAGCAACATGTTCCTGATCGGATGCGGTTTCGGAAGACTCTTGTCCTGACTCTTCATTCGAGGCTGGTTCTCCATTCGCAGGTTTCAGCGAGCCAGGCGATTTTGAAGAGATGGACGCAGCAGCAGTGAACAACTCGTAAGCCGTAGTCTTGCTGAATAGCTCGACAAAAGCGCCAACGACCTTCTTCCAGTGTTCCAGCTGGAACTTTGTAACATTTTGCAAGATCAGCTGCTGCAAACAGTTGCTACCGATCCGTGCAATCGTATCATTCTCCTGACAGATGCACAAAGTGAGAAGCTCAAGAATCCGACCGAGCATGTACTCCAATGCATCGAAGTAATGGGTGAACAGTGTAATCATATTCCGCAGTGCCTGGATCATGGTGGTTGACAGCCACACAGAAAGCTCTTCATGATTGGGCACCTTAGACATTTCCGATTTGGACTGTAGCACCACGAAGATAGGATAGAGGAGCTGCCTCCAAAGTACATCCCAGAATTCTTGCGGAAATTCACCGCCATGACGGATCAAGGTCTCAAAGAGATACGTCAACGCTTGTGACCGGACTTCAAGATCGTCACCGGTCATCAGAACATCTTGGAATGCGATCAAGATCGGGTACCAAAACTGCTCCTCCTTGGACTGACGGGTGAGCTGCTGGGAGAGATTGGTAGCATCTTCATGGAAGCCCTCCGGTGATGCACCACGGTGAGACAGCGGGCACTCTGGCGTCCTTAGCATTTTCGTAACAGTAGACTTCAAGGTCTCAATTGCCTGCAACGACTTCTTCTGGAACTTTGAGTTTTTGGAGAATTCAGTGAGACAGACAATGAGGTCAGGGAAGGCACCCTGTGTTATAACAACTCCAAAGCGGGTGTTGTAGATCTGGGTCACATGCTCGAAAGCCATATTGACAATGCCTTCATACGGCTCGCGAGCAGCAACCGTAAAGACGCCAAACATAGTTTTCCAACCTGAGCGTATGTTGTCACCACGTGCCTGAATCATCTGGATGAGACAACGAAGAATCATATCCTTGACAGTCACAGCGTTGCTGTTCGCCATAACATGCTCAAATGGCTTGAGGAAATCTTTTTGGAACTTAAAACCTGGCAGCTCCTCAATCTCCATAAAGCGCATCGATAGTTGGCGAAGCGAATCAAGAGCGAAGAAGACCACTGTGGTATTCGAATGGCAACCCACATGATTGAAGTGCTGCCCGAGGACCTCCCAAATCTTTGACCATTCAATCCTGACTCTTGTCATGTTGTAGTAACTGATTTCTACCAATTTCTGCAGGCTGTACGTCCGAGGAGATTCAGTTTGCCCAGACGATTGGATTTCTTGCCAGCTGACCTCGCTGAGGGCCTTAATGAAATCGATGATGGCCTCGTGGGAGAGATTGGCCGTATTGGTGAAGATGCGGTCCACTCCCCTTATCATTTCTGCAGATCGACTCTCCATTGCAACCTCGGTACGGAAAGATGTAGGTCCATTGATAGATCGGGGGCGAGGCCGTCTTGATGCTTGCATCGACTTCCGAGATCCGTCCGTGGATGGTTGAGTCACAATGCGAGCTCGAGAGACATCAGGCAGGGAACCTTCATCCACACCATCGGTGAGGAGCTGAAGACGGTCGAGTTGACTGACGCAGGTGAGAATCTCTCTCCAAGAGCCCTTGAGATGATTTCCTTCCGTAAGAGCGACGTCAAGCAAGGCCTTCAACGCCTCCACGTTCTTTGCTACCATCTCCCTGACGTTGCCCAGATTGGTAAACTTGGCCAAGGCCGTCACAAACGCAACCCGCGGGGTCTCAAGTTCGAACGCGCAACTGATGCGTATAGCCAGCTTCATACCCCCCATGCAAAGCCGGATGATATCGAGGTACTGGGTGTCCTGCATCGGAGCAGACAAGCCAGAAAGGAAAGACATCCAGGTGACATTGAACATGGAACCAACATGCTGGACAGAGGTTGCCGGGATGAAGCGCGAGAGAGCTTCCTTGACAGCTGTTTTCCGCTGAGCCCGTATCAGACTACGATAAAGCTGCTCGGTCTTGTTTGCCATTTCCTCAGAAGCCTGCGCGTACTTTTCACCTTGGATATCGCGTCCCACCGTTGCAAAAACTTGACCAGCCCGGGACGCGAGGCCACCGCTGGGTGCAGACGTCGGAATGCCAAGATTGGCAGCATGTTCTCTCTCAGTATCCAACACAATTTCGTTGTTTGCGATTTCGTCGTAGATGGAGCCAAGATAATCATCAGGCAAATCCTGGTTATCGTTGATACCCCTGTTGTTCTTGATGAAATCCTCCTTCGTCATGCGGCGGCCCTTGATCTTGGCACTATGCTGATCAGTATTGAGCATAATGACAGAGTAAGCAAGAACGTAGGCCGTATCTGCGTTTGCAAATGCGTTCGGATTCTGCGTTACGTAGCGCTCTGCAAACTTGAGCATGAAGCGATCGATCTTCTGTGCCTCTCCTGGCAAGCGGAAGTGCTGTAGGAATTGACGCAGAGCATCGACGAAGCGCCGCTTTGAGAATTCCATCATATCAACGAAAGCATGCATGATGGCAATATTCTCAGCCTCTCCTTCACCGAGATACTCACCAATCATGGCTTTATCCAACCGTTCATTCCGGAACAAGAACGCGGCAATGTCCTCCGGTGAGCTGGAACGTACAAAGCCATCTTTGATGAAGAGCTTGATGCCCCGCTTGGCCTTGAAGTTGAACTGTTGGATGGCGTTGGTGAAGGCGATCTTCCTTTGCTTGACCTTCTCAATCTGGCTCGGGTCGTCCTCCGCCACGGGTGTGGTACTGCCATCATTGCTTTCGATCCTAGGAGAAGAAAGATAGGTAGCGGCAGTTGTTTCCATTGAATCCCTAGGATTGTCGATTGACTTCTGAGAAGACGAGTTGAGAACCGGCGCCGCTTGATCGACCAAACGCTGGGAGGCCCAGTTGTCTAATGACTGAAGGATTTCCACCAGGCACTCGACCGCCTGATTCTTCAATATATAATCAGGGGGCACATGCTGTAGGTTTGGCTGATGAACATTGGCTACGCTAGCTGTGGTGAGGTTGGGCGGTAGGGTTCCCCGTTGATGCCAATCGTTACCGATAGTCGAAACCTTGACATGATGTTCCTGATACTGTTGTTGCTGGAAAGCGGTGACTGTGACTGGTATACTTGCATACCGTGACAACTGCTCAATAACACTGGAGAATAGTCAGAAGTTGGACTGCAGAATATTGAAAGTATGACATACTTTTGGAAAATATTTTCCAATGCGGTTCTGTCGCAGTCATAGTTGAGGTACATTTCCACCAAGGCGCGCGGATCGCCTGCCAATCGCTCCAAAATTTCCATGAAGTACTGTTTCTGAAAGAGGGGAGAATTGCGCTTTTCGAGAATAGTCAAGTATATCTCTTTTAGGAAAACCTCAAGTTCTTTCTGCTGGCTGTTAGATCAACTCGCGCGAATAAGTCCATGAAGCATACTAACCTTCATCATCACTCTCATATCCTTCAGCATTAGCCAGAATATCTCACAGCAAACTTCGAACACTCTAGGCACCGAGCTAGACCCATTCCGACTCAAACTTAAGCACAAGTGAGGCCGGACAGCTTGTAGTAGTGTCATAGCATCCGGGCTGTTGGAGCTATTTCTAATGGTCAGGAGGGGAGATGTAAAGGTCACAACGTGATTGTTGATGAGGTAATGAATAAGGTGCAATGAGAGCAATTTTGATCTCATATTCTGCGACTTGAGATCTTGCTGTTGATCATGGCTCAGTATTTTGTGGCTCAGCTTGCAGAGTGCCCTGAAAACCAAAAATGCGTCTTTGACATATATTTCATCTTCATCATCGTCGGAAGTGCCGTCAATGTCCTCTGCTGAGGCTGCAGACATTGACCGAGCAGACCTCTGATTGCCTCTGGCACGAGTAACCATTGTGGGGGCATTGTCGTTGACCGAGGTCACATCCTTGTTCGACTCGAAACTTTGCAACGTCAATTTCTCCGTGGGCTCCTTCGTGACAGGCTGGTCTGAGGCTACGGCAGAAGGGGCATCTGAATCGTGATCATCTTCCGTTGCTTGTGGTGTCTCGGCTGTTTCTAGAGTCACAGCATCCGAAGAGCCCGTCTGCCCTTTCTCGCCATCGCGCAAACGTAGCTCTTTCAAGTCCAACCGTACCTGGACCCTATCAAATACAGTGCTGACCATCTGTGTCAAGGACCCTTGGGCAATTTGCTGATTCTGAGATGATTTGGAGTAGATGAAGATGTTGTAAATCTGGCGGACAGCCTTCAGGAGACCTGCTCCATGCACGACGATCTTGTCGTTCAGAACTGCCGCAAGGAGTGATTTTATGATTTGTTGTTGAATCTCAACGGGTGTGGCTTCGTTTTCAAAGCAGTCGCAGATCGCATCAATCGCTCGCTCAATCAGGGGTGGCTGTTCAGGGTTGGCCTCCGACTCTGGCGTCTTCCCATCTTGAGATGAAGGGAAGGCGAAGTATGAGTAGGTTATCAATTTTCCGATGCAATCGAGGGCCGTGACCTGTAGAGGAATACTGAAGGTTTTCGTGGCCAGCTGCAGAGGGCGGAATATAAGCTCAGGGTCAATGGGCTGGCCATCCGACTGTTTGACGTTTGCGAGGGCACTCTTCACAGCATCCTCAAGTTCTTTGCTTCTCCGCGCTTCCTTAGACGCACCGATTGTATCCAACGCCGTCACAATAAAAACGGTAGAGCTGACCGTGACCGAGCGATGTGTTGCAAATGTAGCTGTCGTCGATCTTGAATCGGAGCGCATGCGTGAATCGGAGGGAATCTCATCTTGATGCGGGATGGAAGCAACATCTTGCTTGTCAGCCGAAGATTCCTCTCCAACATTGACAGCCGGAACTACCGGTGATGTATCCGCAGGTTGGTCCTGTGTATCGGGCTTCGAGGTCGACTCAGGCTCGGTGTCAGCCTTGGATTCTGATGATGCGACGGCTCCCTCCGGAGAGCTTGGGGCTTGATCCGGCGACTCTGTGTTTTCAGCAGTTTCCAATTGTTCTGGTGATGAATGAGCCTCCTCTGATCTCTGAGCATCAATTCCTTGACTATCCGAAACCTCCGGTAGTGCGGGTTTATCTCCGTCGACAGGTGATGCCGTATGCGCTAGGACATCGCCGGCAACATCCTCCTTGTTGTCTACCGGCGGCAGGGTTGTAGATGTTTGGGTTGGTGGCTCGTTCACAGAGCCATTCTCGACTTCCGCCATTTATGCAAGACTCCGTCCGGAGTGTTGGGAATTGGGCAGACGAGGGGTCCACATGGGACTGAAAAGCAACTAAAGGGGTATATGCAGGTCTGAGAGAAAGGGCCCTCTAGCCTCCTGGACGCTGGGGAACTGATGCGTGTTCACTCCGCGGACGGGGAGAATGTACGGCTGCCGCTAGGGGCCACACCCGCCGCGCTGACATAATCAGGCCACGGCGGCGCCCGGCGAGTCTATTCCGATCGCTCACCGGGAAGCTCAACAGAAAAGTTCCTGGAGCTGCAGTTCTCAACTCCTCTGATACGGGCCCTTTCATTCCGCCAGATACGTCTCCGGCTCCCCCTTTCATCACATTTAATCCCCTCATTCCCGTCTCGGGTCTTTTTCTCTATCACATATAGCATTTGGGCGCCATGGTTGCTTCTGCTGTCCGGATGCGCGCTCCCAGCGCCATGTTCCTCTCCAAAGGCGCCCTCTCCCTGAAGCGGCCGCAAACTGTTCACAGATTCAAGGATATCGCTCAGTATGTCGCACCACCTCGATGAAGTCTACCTGACTGTCTGCGAAGCATGCTAATCATACTTCTTACTTTTTTTTTCAGATCTCAATTGCCTTCCCTGTCCGCCCTTTCCCGTTTTTATGCCTCCAAGTGTATGCCGTTATTCTTGTCACCTTTGATTTGTGGATGATCGGATTCTGACATATTGGATCTGCAGCCTTCCCTCCCCACACTGTCATCAGCATGCCGGCCTTGTCGCCGACCATGTCCGCCGGAAACATTGGAGCTTGGCAGAAGAAGGCCGGTGATTCCCTGCAGCCCGGTGATGTCCTGGTAGAGATCGAGACCGATAAGGCCCAGATGGACTTTGAGTTCCAGGAAGAGGGTGTTCTGGCCAAGGTTCTTAAGGAGACTGGCGAGAAGGACGTCGCTGTCGGTTCTGTATGTGATAACTCTTCTGCTCTGTTCTTGGCCCCCACCGAATCCTTTGCTGACCGCTATTGCATTAGCCTATCGCTGTTTTGGTTGAGGAAGGTGTCGATGTTGCCGCTTTCGAGGCTTTCAGCCTGGCGGATGCCGGTGGTGAGAAGGCTGCTCCTGCTGCTGAGGAGAGCAAGCAGGAGTCCAAGGCCGCTGAGGCTGCCCCGGCTTCTGAGCCCGCCCCTGCTGCCGTGGAGCCTGAGACTTCCGGCGAGAAACTCCAGCCCAGTCTGGACCGTGAGCCTTCCATCAGCCCTGCCGCCAAGGCCCTGGCTTTGGAGAAGGGTGTGCCCATCAAGGCTCTCAAGGGTACCGGCCGTGGTGGCCAGATCACTAAGGAGGACGTTGAGAAGTACAAGCCCAGTGCTTCTGCCGGCCCTACCTACGAGGACATCCCCCTGACCTCCATGCGCAAGACCATTGCTAGCCGCCTCCAGCAGTCCGTGCGCGAGAACCCTCACTTCTACGTCTCCACCACTTTGTCTGTGAGCAAGCTCCTCAAGCTTCGCCAGGCTCTGAACGCTTCCTCCGAGGGCAAGTACAAGCTTTCCGTCAACGACTTCCTCGTCAAGGCCTGCGGTGCCGCCCTCATGAAGGTCCCCACCGTCAACTCCAGCTGGCATGAGGAGAACGGCCAGACCGTCATCCGTCAGCACAAGACCGTCGACGTCAGTGTTGCCGTCTCTACCCCCAATGGCCTCATCACCCCCATCGTCAAGAGCGTTGAGGGCCGTGGTCTGTCCAGCATCTCCAACCAGATCAAGGACCTGGGCAAGCGCGCCCGCGACAACAAGCTCAAGCCCGAGGAGTACCAGGGTGGCACTTTCACCATCAGCAACATGGGTATGAACCCTGCTGTTGAGCGCTTCGCCGCCGTCATCAACCCCCCTCAGGCCGGTATCCTGGCTGTTGGCACCATCCGCAAGGTTGCCGTCCCCGTCGAGACTGAGGAGGGCACCTCCGTTGAGTGGGATGACCAGATCATCGTCACTGGTAGCTTCGACCACCGTGTCGTCGATGGTGTTGTCGGTGCTGAGTGGATCAAGGAGCTGAAGAAGGTTGTTGAGAACCCCCTCGAGCTTCTTTTGTAAGCTCTTCCCTACACTGTGGAACCCCGACCGGCGCAGTATACTAGCTATCTACGATCGGAGTTTCTTTTGGCCTTGTTGTTGTAATATGTATTAAAATCATTAAACGTTTCCTCCTTTCACGACCGTCACGGTCTGTCAAGTACAGCCTAGATATTCTCAATGCATTTCCTATGTTTCGTACCTCCATGATGTTAAGCCTTGCAGCATGTTTTGGACCATTTTATTGGTCGCACAAGTTGTACCTGATAATTGAACCGGCCCCTTTCAAAAGATGCAACAACCTGTCTAGATTTATGCCTTGCAAAGCAGTAATTGGGTAGATCCATCAGGAACAACCTAAAGGGTTGCGTAGCCGCCAGTGCGTTGCGTCCGGCACGAGAGTCTTGGCGGTGCTCATAGCCTGGGCCAACCTTCGCCAGGGAATCTATGACGTGATGTCATTCCTCTCGGACGGTTCTCGTGTCCATAAATACTCGAGGTTCTCATCCCCTGAAACCTACCTCGATACTTTCCCGTGCGTCAGCCTATTACATCTTATTTTATCGTCACTTGCATCTGAATCTACCTGTGCGTTTGTTTGGCCCTTCCTGGAGGTTGCTAAGTACTCTTGGTCTTGGCATACTCCCAACTTAGATGCGCCGACTGATGACGTCCTAGATCACATATTCCCCTCAAGTCACACGACTCATTTATTCATCATGTCTTACGCAGAAGCTGCTGCCAAAGGTCCCAAGCAATCCGCAGAGGAGGTATGTCTACAGTCACTCCACCGCCTAGCGTCCAGTTCAGGTGCTATATCATCTAGATTATGCAGATCGCTAACACTATGGACAGGCGTAAGTCAACAACAACACAGAACAAATGACCCTTCCATACAGCTAACAGCCATGTAGTCGTGCCCCCAGCGTTGGTGGAGTGTACCGCGACGAAGCCGAGAGCACCGCTTCCCTGGTCGACGTCGACTCGCCGCATGTCCAGGCCGTGGATCCCGACTTCCTGAAGCAGGACGTGCAGACCACCACCCAGGCTGAGCGGATAGAGCGAGAAGAAGAGGAGCGGGAAGCCTACGAAGAACGGAAAGCGAAGAGCAAGGCTAAGGCTAAAGCCAAGGCGAAGGCTGAATCGGCGCGCAGCAACGCGCACAACCCTGTCTACCTCGGAAATGCTGTGATTCTGGCCTTGATTGGCGCTGGTCTGGGGTATGGAGCATACCGGAAGCATGCTGCTGGGCAGCTTTCGTGGGAAGTGATTGGATGGGCCTCTGGCGCTATTGGTGCTTTTGGTGCCGTGGACTACTTTGTTAGCAAGTGAGTATCTGTCTGAAGTGCATGTGCGTTGATGGCGTTTGCTAATGTGGGGGCGTCCTCTAGATGGCTTCTGCAGAACAAGTACCCTCCGAAATAAGGCTTGAAGTTGAAACGGAGCACTTCGTGGAGTCGTGATATCCCAGTGTCAATTCCGCGGTCTATCACTTTTTACTGTTTGTTGTACTCCTTTAGGGTACATGAGGCGTTTGTGCAGTCTTTGGGCGTCATAGTGTGTTTGTTGCTAGTATATCCCTAATGGATTGATCTTTTTTTAGCACAGCAGCCATCGTAAGAATGAGGGCATGAAGTATTCTGCGGTGATCGCAAAGGCGAAGACAATGTCCCACGCGGGGTAGACAATTGCAAAAGAAAAAGAAAAAGAAAAATCAAATGACGTAGACTGTAGAGTCGAGAGCCTTTAGTCACATCTCTAGCTTCCTGCATGGACTTACTTTTGCTCGGACCGAGCTGAAGCGGGTCAGGCCGCACGAATGGCTGCAGTGGCAGGGGCGGTCAGCGCCGTCAGAATCGTGGCCTCTGCAAGAACATGTGGCCTTGGCCAGCATCATTATTAGCCTGATATAGAAGGTCTCTCCTGACACGTCGCTATTTCTTGGTGCCGACTCCTAAACATTTCGCAGACTTACTCAAGGTTTTTGTACTCTTGGAAGAAATTAGCACCTGCAAACCCAAGCTATACCTCCCCTTTTGCGGCCGGGATTGTATACAGCATATTCACCCGATAGGGTACACCGCACAAAATGGTAAGTCGTCTACGACCTCAAGATGTGAAGCCCCAATTTGAGGGATCATGTTTATGCCTGATGGGAGCTTACATTGTCTCTTGTTTAGAATTCCCTCTTCAATTCCGCCCTCAAGCAGTCATCTGCTATCCGCCGTGACCTGGATACATTCTCCCAATCACCAGCTACCTCATCTGCCGCACTACAAGGTATGTTTCGGAACTGGTGCTTATAGTGGCTCCACTACGCAACAGAGGGAGCTAAGCTCAAGTGAATTATAGGACAAATCGCTGCTTCGCTAGCATCGCTATCACGCACCGTTGACGACTACTCTGCCCTGTCCAAGAAGGAATTGATTCCGGAGAAGCAAGAGAAGGCATTCGAACGAGTCAAGAATTTCCGCTCAGAACTGGCAGATTACCGGCAACATTTTGATCGACTACGGAAAGAACGGGAGGAAGCTGTAAGAATACCACTCCCATTTTCGAGCAGCGTTGAGAGTTACTGTTACTGACCATGGTTTGTCTACAGCAATCCGTCACCAACCGCAACGAGCTCCTCGGTCGACGCCCTCATCACACAGCTACACCGGAGAACCCATATGCCCAACCATCCCTCCCTCAGTCTTCTGCGTTCGCTCCTTCCTCATCACGATCAGGACTCAGCTTTGGAGCTTCGCCGGCCGACTACAACCGGGAAACACATGCGCTTCGCGAACAAAGCTTCCTAGCGAGCACCAACACCCAGATCGACGAGTTTCTTGATCGGGGTCGTGCTGTGCTGGCGGACTTGGGACAGCAGCGTGAAGTGCTGAAAGGCACGCAGCGTCGACTCTACAGCGTTGCGAACACACTGGGCGTCAGCGGCGACACAATCCGCAGGGTTGAGCGTCGCGCAAGACAAGACAAGTGGATCTTCTGGGGCGGAGTGGTGCTCTTCTTCCTATTCTGCTGGGCTGTCCTGCACTTCTTGCGATAGTTGCGGTACATATTTCTTTTCATTCCCCTTTATATTGTTTTTGCTTTTACCCCCTTACCTTTCTGGGACTATTGTGATTTGGTGCTTGGGTTGTCTTACAAGCGCAGGCGTTTGGAGCGCATTGGCAGGGGGGGAGAATTTATTGCGCATTATTGTATGTACTTGTGAGTGTGTGGATGTGGTGATGGCTCGTAGTCTATACGTAGTCCCTGCAGCAGGACTGATTAGATTCGCTGTCCCCGTGCGCAATGGGAATTGGTTTGAGTGTGGAGTAACCCAAAAGTAGTGTGCCGTAGACAAGGAAGACGGACGGGTGGATGGAAATGGTTGGGGGGGACGTGGCCATCGGTTAATTTAGGGACCATGGAGCAGATCCCATAGCAACGTGGCAATGAAAGCAATTGTCTAGGGAAGTTAATTCAATTTGAATTAAGTAAAAAAGACTACCATTGGCATCGGAGAATCATCGACAACCAGCATATATGAGGGTCGGTAGGACGGAATCGGAGCAAGTCGCCAGGCAAGTGGACAGACATGGCAAGCACGACAAGATGATCCGATGGCTGCCGTGGGGATCGGAAACGGAGCCATTTAGCCGCCCCAAAATCCTTCGCGCTCACCGGCCACCGACGGCTTCTCCCTTCTTCTCCTTCTTCTCTCTCCTCCTTCCTCTCCATCGCAATTGTTTCTCTTCTTTCCTCCCCATCTCCCCATCCTTCTTCCAGATAGATCTACCTTTAGTCTATCCTTCACAGCCAAGATGTTCGCTGCTCGTCAGTCCCTCAACCTCCTCCAGAAGCGTAGCTTCTCCGCTTCTGCCAGCCAGGTGTGTAGCCCAAATAAAAAACATTGCCTCGGAGCTCTCTTGTCCACTTGCTAACCATCGCAATTTCCATCTCAGGCCTCCAAGGTTGCCGTTCTCGGTGCCGCCGGTGGCATTGGCCAGCCCCTGTCCCTGCTCATGAAGCTCAACCCCCTGGTCACTGACCTCGCCCTCTACGACATCCGCGGTGGACCTGGTACGTCGCACAGCTTCTCCCTTCCCTCCAGTTTGAAACGCCCATCCGATCATCGGAGTCGACTAACAGAATCCCCAAACAGGTGTCGCTGCCGATGTCAGCCACGTCAACACCAACAGCACCGTTAAGGGCTACGAGCCTACCCCCTCTGGCCTTCGCGATGCTCTCAAGGGCTCCGAGATTGTCCTCATCCCTGCCGGTGTTCCCCGCAAGCCCGGCATGACCCGTGATGGTATGCGCTGGACCACTTGAAAATTATCAAGGCGCGAGCGTCAGAGTACTAATCACGCCTGTCACAGACCTCTTCAACACCAACGCCTCCATTGTCCGCGACCTCGCCAAGGCCGCCGCTGAGGCTGCTCCCGAGGCTAACATCCTCGTCATCTCCAACCCCGTACGTTGTTCTCCCATCACCACCAAAATGATCGAACCTTGTACTAATTAGGTACCCCCCAGGTCAACTCTACCGTCCCCATCGTCGCCGAGGTCTACAAGTCCAAGGGTGTCTACAACCCCAAGCGCCTCTTCGGTGTCACCACCCTGGACGTTGTCCGTGCCTCCCGCTTCATCTCCCAGGTCAAGGGCACCAGCCCCGCCAACGAGAACGTCACCGTCATCGGTGGCCACTCCGGTGTGACCATCGTTCCCCTCCTCTCCCAGTCCAACCACCCCGACATCTCCGGCACCGTCCGTGACGAGCTGGTCAACCGCATCCAGTTCGGTGGTGACGAGGTCGTCAAGGCCAAGGACGGTGCTGGTTCCGCCACCCTCTCCATGGCCATGGCCGGTGCTCGCTTCGCCGACTCCCTCCTCAAGGCCGCCAACGGCGAGAAGGGTATCGTCGAGCCCACCTTCGTTGAGAGCCCTCTCTTCAAGGACCAGGGTGTTGACTTCTTCGCCTCCAAGGTCGAGCTCGGCCCCAACGGTGTTGAGAAGATCCACGAGGTTGGCCCCGTCAACGAGTACGAGCAGGGTCTCATCCAGACCGCTCTCGGTGACCTCAAGAAGAACATCCAGAAGGGTGTTGACTTCGTCAAGGCCAACCCTTAAATGTTTTTTGGACTTGCTTGAAGAAGGAACAAAATTGCAATACCTCTCTGCAGCCGCTTTTCCTCCCTGTATAACAGTCTTGTGATAATCCATACCCACTTCCCGCCCCCTATGCACATCCCCATCTCGCATGTGGCTTTTATATCGGAGGAAATGTAGCTGCGGAAACTCGCATAGCAATGAGTTTTTGGAGGAGCCTGGGTTTGCCAGGGGAGATGGACATGAACGTGTATTTCCTATAAATAAGAAAATCTAATGATTCAATGACTAGTATTGTAGCCATCCATTGGTATTTGTAGGATTCAGAACTGCACGTTGGTTTATTTACTACCTCCTACAATTGCCTCGGCTGCACCTAGAAAATCGAACCCGTGGCTAAAACTCAATCAGTCCCAACCAACCCAATGATGAATCCATACCGGCTCGTAACAAATCAATCACAAAACAAAAGAAACAGAGTAACAGGAAGACAAGGATATATAGGTTTAATAAACGACAAAGGAGAAAAAAAAAACCCCCCCCATTTTCTCCATACTATTAGTGAATATATATAATACTTGACGTCTACTTACCACTCCTGCACCAACAACATCCCGTCTTTGGAGTCATCAATTACTAGTACTAGTTTCTACTATTCAACTTCAGTAGTAGTAGTAGTAGTGAAGTAGTAGTATCATTGAAACCAATGAATGAAGTCGGAACTTATTCCAGATACTATACATACCATGATGGCACCAAACATTTACTTCTTACTAATAACTTGGTATCCCTTTCCAGTTATCTTGTATTACTTACCACGATATTTTATGTATAGTATAGTAGATAATGGACTATGCATGCATGTATCTGCCTATCCACCTACCATGAGGAGAATTCCCATCAGTGATTACTACTACTGTCTGGGATTGGGTTTGAGTTACTATTAAGTTTGGGATAATGTTGCAAGTACTACTGCTGACAACTGAGACGGGATTCATATCGATGGACTACTTACTAGTTTTAATTGAGTGTGGCTTGAGGAGTACGGATATAATAATAGTAGGTAGTGGTAGTAGTAGCAGAACAGCCAGAGCTGTGAATTGTGCATTGTATTTTATACTTATACTGGAACTTTCAGACTACGGTGATTAGGTGATATTTGGTAGATTGCTTAATGCAGTGGTAATGTAATGCACTTCTGACCGGCCGGTTAGGTATTTGATGGTGTATACTCAATACTATACAGTCTTGAGGATCTCGTCTGGAATAACTACTAGATTAGTATGTAAGAAAGAGATGAGGTCAGTCAAGTAAGAGTGGGGTATTTCGTTTCTCATTGTATTCCAGAATGTTAACTAGTAATAGTTGTTATCTTGTCATCATCCTTGTCATCATCATCACGGAGATCGTCAACAGCAGCAAGCGCAGGTGCTAGTGCAGTGAAGTGTAGGTGTCAAAAAATCAACATCAACAGGAATAAAACAACGCATAGAAGACAGATCTTTGGCAGTGGGCAACACGCAAATAAAAATCTTGCTTCATACTAAGGGGTAGTTCGGTCAAATTGCAAACAGAAAACACGAAGAATGGAAGAATGGGGAGAGATCATAGTCTTCGCTCGAAAGAATACAGCGTTACGATAATGCAAGCCAGAAGAAAATGACTAGGTATAACTTCTCATAGCATCGAGGTATCCTGACCCCCCGCGAAGGTCGCGGTCGAAGGTTTCGGCGACCTCCAGAACACGTCGGATGTGCTCCATGGATAGAGGGGTTTGCTCGTTAACAGCCAATGCTTGGGCTGTGCGGACGGAGTTTTTGATCTAAGAACAGGTTAGTTAGTATCCGTGCACGTTCCGTAGACTGTATGGGGGATCTTACCTGACGTCCGTTGAGGTTATGACGAGCTAATAGATCAAAGTCCTTTTCTGTGAACGTGGCGGTCTCCACACCCTCCTTGGCCTGCACTCGCTCCAAGAACATCTTCCAGACGCTGCGCTTCGCTTTCGTGGTGAGTTCACCGTAGCGCAAAGCGACGTGGATGCGGGATTGGAAGGCGTCATCAAATGTCTCGACGCGGTTGGTGGTCAGGAAGAGAATACCCTGGAAGTATTCCAGCAACCGCAGGAAGATGCTGACTAGGGCATTGCGGTGAATGTCCTGGATGGTGCGCTTCTCCAGGAAGATATCAGCTTCATCGAGCAGCAGAACGGCGCCCCAGGAATGTGCGATGTCAAGGATCTTATTCAGCTCTGCTTCAAGGGTGCGCGGATCGGTACCCAGCTCACCCGCGCTCACCATGTAGAGCGGGCGTTTAAGGAGCTCTGCGATGCCTTCGGCAGTAAGGGTTTTACCAGTACCGGGAGGTCCGTGGAGCACGGCCACGAGACCCTTGCCCTTGCCTTGGATGACATCGTCGATGTTCTGGGCCGCGCGGAAAGTGTGCGATTCGACCAATGCCTTGACGATGGACTTCTGGTTGTCGGGGAGGACCAACGAATCAAAGGCATCTTCGTTCCATTCAATCTCACTGATGCCCGAGATGCTGAACTCAAGCCACAGCTTCTCACTGAAGGCGAAGCCGAGTACCACGGGGCTTGCGATGAGGAGCTCCTCTTCAGTGAATTCGCGGTCGGAGGGGTCCGCGACTTCGTCCATATTCTCCTTGACGATTTCATTGCCGTTCTCATCCAGCTCGACCTCGACGACGTGCGGCTTCCCCTCCTTGTCCCGTACCACCTTGAATAGGAGTTGAGGGGTGTCTGATTCGCGCGGTTGCCCGTAGGTCTGTTCCGATTCTGAGTCGGACAGAATACAGCAGCACCCATTGTTGCTGCCATCATCGTCGGAGCCGTCAAGGTAGTCTGGGTCCTTGGGACGGACGGTGCTGATAGGGTAGTTGGGATTGATGCGCCGGTGGATGGCGGGATCAACCATGACACGGCCGTTGATGTTGACCTTGATGACGGACCGCTTCTTTTTGTAGAAAGCCATACCCTTGTGATACCGGTAGTTCATGCCTCGCAGCGCCACGAATTTCTTACCTCGCTCAATCAGCTTGGCCTTGACACTCTCAGCTTCGCGATGATACTTGAGCGGATAGCAACTCAGACTGGTGATTTTGCGGGCACCCTTGAAGGACTCCACCTCGGCGGCCATGGTTCCCATACCGAAAGCCTTGCCATCATACTCGAGGTATCGACCCTCGATGCTGTACCATTGACCCTTCATGAAGGAGGACTCCTTGGTGGCGTACTCGATCTTGAAGGCACGAGGCTCATCCTGGTTTCCGTAGGTGGAGGAGTAGGCGACGGTGTTGGGCTTGAAGATGGCCCATAGGAGATCGAACGTGATCATGCTGGAGTCCAACAGAGGGTAGAGGGTCTTTTTGGTCTCGGCATAGTCGGTGTCCAGATACTTGATGAGCACCTTGAGATGTGATGCCTTGATTTCGGCGAGCTTGCGGGCTTTCTTCTTCTTTTCGGTCTTGGCCAGCTGCCGGAGATCTTTCATGTACTGCCGCGTCTCCTCAAGGTAGAGGAAGAGCATGTTGGGATCGACAACCGCCGTCTCCTGCACCAAGCTGACGCCCTTGACTCCATCCATGACCTTGGACAGCGCATCGCGCAGGTACTTGCTCTTCAGGTCTACCACAGTCTCCAGGTACTTGTTGTCCCAGTCGAACTTGCGGCGCACGGTGAAGAGGTATTGGTCCCACTCGTTTGCATCGGGGTCGTCGACCGTCTCCGTCAGCTTGAAGTTGTGAATCGTATTGTCCCATACTGCAGACTTTGGTGTTAGCTAGGTCAAGAGGAGAGATAAGGATGACGCACGCTGATCTACACGCTTGAAAGCAATCTTCGAGGCAGCCTTCTTGCGTCCCTTGGACTTTTGCGAGCCTCCTTTCTGGCCGTCAGTGTTACCGTCACCCGAGCCACGTCTGCCTCGGCCTTTGCGACGCCCATCGGCCAACTTGACACGCAAGGAAGCCAACTTTTGCTTGGCTAGCAGAAGGGCGAGCTCGTCGGCGTCGGCATCCTCGTCGGCATCGTCATCGTCGTCTTGTTGCTCCTCGGAAGAGTCATCCTTGGAGCGCGACTTCTTGGTCTTCTTCGCCTTGAGCTTGGCGACCAGCTTCTTCAGGGTCTTTTCGTCAAGAGACGAATCGGAGTCGCTACTATCCTCGAGATCGGAATCGGGTTCCGATTCAGTCTGGTGCGACCGGCTCTTCTTCTTACGGCTCACACTTTTGAGCGATTTTTTGATCTTGTTCTTGGCCCGGCGGCGACGCTGTTTGCGATCCGACTCTGCGTCGGACTCTGACGCCGACTGAGCGTCTTCGTCGTCGGAGGTAGATTCCGCGCTGGATTCCTCGGAAGAGGAATTTAGTTCCGACGAGCTGTCATCGCTGGGGGTAACAATGGAAGCGGCCTTGCGGTGAGACTTTTTCTTTTTCGAGCGGTTGGGATCCTGGTCTTTTGTCGCATGCTTGGAACACACGGACTTTTTGGGGACGGGATCGGAGACAGAGACGGGAGCTTTGGGGTCGGACTTGACTGGGGGAGTATCGACGGGCGGGTCGGCGTCAAGCTTGGATTCGGGGGAGGAGGAGACGGGGCCACTAGCGTCGGCCATGGTGGTACCAGTCACAGCGGTCGTAGTACTGCTGGAGTCGCTGGTGGTGGCAGGGAGTGGAGCTGAGCCAGGGACCGGAACGGGCACAGGCCCACTGTTGTTGGAGCTTGGGTCGCGCTGAGTCTCGAGCTCAGTTTGCTGGGAGGATTGGGAATCAGTGGGGATGGCCATGGCCAGTGAGCAGAGAGATTGGGAATATATGAATGATGAGACGAATGTAGAAGAAGGAAAGGAAGAAAAATAAACAGGTGAGGATGGATGAATGGATGATGAAGAGTAGTGATATGGGGTAGATGGGAGAGAGTGGATGAGGGTAGTTGGTGGATGGGAAGAAGTTTGGTGGGAAATGCTGTGGATGGGGAAACGGGAGAAAGAGAGAGAAAGAGAGAGAGGATGAGGAGAGAGACAGACTCACATACTCGGATGCCTAAGAATAATAAAGTATCCTCGCTTGCAAGAGCGCCTTGCGTGTTGGCCCAGCAGATGGCGGTGTGTGCTGCCTGACCACCCAAGATGAGAGAGAGAGAGTGAGGAAGCAGAAGTAGTAGTAGTAGAAGAAGAAGAAGAAGAAGGGAAGAGAAAAGAAAGGAAGTGAAAAAGAGCAAACAAAAATGACAGGCAGATCGACGAACAAAAGTAATTAAATAAATAAATAACCCCAAGAGTGAGGCGATTGATTGTGACTAACTGACTAACTGACTCCAACTTAAGAGCAATGATGCCTGTTCACAGTTGCTCTCTGCCTGCTGCATAAATAAATACAGTAAAACTACTACACCTAAAAGAAAGAAACTCGCCGGATTGGGGAAGAGGCTGGGATAGCTTCAGAACTGGCAGTACCAATAACAATATGCAAATCTCACCGGGTCAGCAAATGCATCAGGATTGGATTGTCACCCTGCCAGGCGCTTGGAGAAAGAAAGTGGCACAGACTTCCGACCCCCAAACCCAAACAGCCATTCAGCCGCAGGATCATCAACTGGATGCGCAGAAGTCTTAGAGGGAGAGCCATCCCCGGTCACCGACATTTTGCCAACGTGCGTGTGTCTCACATGCGCTGTCAGTGCAGTTTTCAGTCACGCTTGGGGATGGAAAGTTGACCCAATATTTAGATGGGATGATCATCCAGATGGAGTACTACTAGTATTTGTAAGTAGTCACGGAATAACAGGCAGAAGCAGGCAGTAGTGACATACTACTAAAGTTAGACTGAGGAGTCATACTGACCCTTCACGAACACTGACAGGCAAGCCTGGCTCGTATTCGTCCGAGTTCTGACCAACTGATATTCTCCGTTCCAGTTCCAGATCCCTGTCTGCCTGCAGCTGAACCAGGTGAAGAATCCCGACTCCATTGCAATGCCCCGGATGTTCCTTCCGCGGCAAAGTACCCCGGCTCCGTACTTTTGTACGTCAACCCTAAGCAACATCCATGTCTTCCAATGTAGAATTTGAGATGTCAAATTAAGATGCTTACACGCATTCCACAAATAACTATATATTTGACTGAGAATTTGGTAGATTTCAGATCATTAGACAGAGAGACTCTACAGCCAATAACTGGGTTAGTAGGGACTGTAACCAGAATTCATACTAAGCAATCTCTGGGAGATTCCTATATTTCGAGATAACCGGTTTCTGCCTACACAGACCAGTATACTAGATGTTATTACATTTACACAAATCAACATCAGTTGTCATCTATACCTAGCTAGCATCATCGCTTTCAGGCGTAGTGCTCCATACATAGTATACATTTCACACTCACCCAGTTCCTATGATAAAGCAATATACACTGCCCTCATCTCTACATCATCTAAACGCAGGTACTCCTAGTATAGACTACTAAATGAGTCGACCATCCTTACCAACAATCACACCCATACAACTACACCTAATCTCAAGCATACACCCCCTTACCCCAATGTATAGACCATAGCACCCCCCAACCCTGGGTAGTTCCTACCAAACACAAGCATAGTAACCAAGCACCCTAGCAACGCAATCCAACTTATCCAGCTAATCCACAATTAAAATTCACTGAACAAGAACAGAAAAGAGAAGTCAAATCACTTCACTGACATAGCAACACTGACAGAACAGAACTCACTTCTATGTTGTTCATCCCCTTCTGCCACTCTCATCTTCCCATTCCCATTCCCACCTCACCTCCATCATCCTTCTACATACCATCCTATCACATCACCCTATTACCACTACCACGAAAACCAAGACATGAACAAGATGTCACCCACCTTCACCCCTGTCAACAATACCCCCGGTCACAAGAACGGCACTGCCCTGAAGACCCCTACCAAGAAGACCGGCGGCGTGGCAATGGTAAGTACCATACTCTACCACCACCACACATACACTACCCACAACCATACCATATATAGTATACACAGAACTAACAAAGATACCCCAACCCATACTAGACCCCTAAAACCCCAACTCCCGCCTCAACAAACACCCACACCCACACCAACAGCAACAAAAAACGCCTCACCCCATCCTCCCCCACCAGCACCACCACCAGCCCCAACAACAACAAACGTACTAAAGCTCGCACTCCCCTCCCACCCATCCCAACGACCCTCGCCTCCGCCAGCGCCTCTGACCTCCTCATCCTCCGTCTCCGGGACGAGTCCTCCACCCCCTGGACCGCCATCAACCAGGCATGGACGGATCTGACGGGGATTAGTGTGGGCGGGTCGACCCTCCGAGCGAGGTACAATACCATGAAGAAGAATTTTGTGGTGGTCGATCCGGGTGATGTATTCCTCCCTCCCCCTTTTTTTTCATTTCCATTCTATTTAAGTATCATTTGGGGGATGTGATGTGGGTGTGTGGCTAATGTGTATGTATATGTGATAGGAAGCAAAGATCCTCCAAGCTAAGAAAGATATCGAGGGACGATTGGAGACGGAGAAGTGGAAGTTGATTGCTGAGGAGGTGGGGAAGGTTGGTGGGGGAACTTATCCCGGGGAGTGTTTGAGGAAGTATGTGAGGGAGATGGAGAAGGGGATGAAGGGGGTTGCCACTGCTGCTGTTGCTAATGGTGGTGGAGATCATGGTGAGGAGAGTGAGGAGGAGGATGTTGATGATGTGAAGATGGAGGCTGAGGAGGATTAGGTGCGTTATGGCTATGGCTATGGCTATGGCTATGGCTTTGGGTCTTCTGCTGCTGAGCTTGCTGGGGGGTATTGGGAAGTCATAAAGTGACAGACAAACATACAGCTACACCGTGAACAGCATGTCATTCTTTTTTAAAAAAAAGGACAATCAATCAATGCTTGTTTACTCCAATTCTCTGTACTCGAGGTATCATAATCAAAATGAGAAAAAGAAAATCACAACACACTTAATTCCCGACGCCCGTAATCCTCCATCCCATCCCTCATATAATCATCACTGTCTGTGCGGGCTACTATCGCCGGCCGGATCTTCGTCCCTACGAACCCACGTCGGTCTCGTCCCGTGCGTCCGCGGCCTAGCCAGTTATGCTTCAGCTCCTTGCTCAGGAGCTCGATCTGCTCCTGTGCTCGATCGCCGGTTTGCACGCTGGCCAACACGCTGACGCACTGGAGCATCCGTCCCACGGTCTCGGTGATGATGTGTGACGTGTCTGTGTGCGAGGACCGGTGGATGATACTGGGCCGTTGCGTGGGTGACGAGAAAGACTGGAAGATCAGCTGGTCCGGGTTGGACGTGTTGGACGCCGCCCGGCTGCGGTTGCAGTCTAGCGATTCAGACGAGTAGCTGTTCGCGGCGTTGAGGAGCGTCGACGACTGCGAGCTGTAGCTGCCGAACCCGCCGTCCAGCGAGGCCGATGTCGTCGGCCGTGCGCTGTTGCTGCTGCTCTTGGTCGTGACGCTCAGCGCTGCCGTGCCCAGCTTGATGCTGTCTAGACTCAAACGGGAGAAGGTTGCCTTTAGCACGTCGTACCGGTAGAGGATGACCATGTCGCGGAAGGCAATCAGAACGAGGTTGCGCACGTCCAGATCGCAGCCGGGGTACTCGCCGTTGAACGTGGATGACCAGAACTCACTGGCTTCTCGGCGGTTCATGACGGACCCGCATCCCTTGAACTCAAGGTCTAGGGGCAGAAAGACAGCCTGGATGAAGGGCAGGATCGTGCCAAACACGAGCATCCACACTTGTACCAGATGAGGGACCAGCTTCTCATCGGGGATGCCGTTCAGTGTATGGTTGAGGGAGGCGCATCCTGTCTCTAACAGCTCGCGCAAGTCGTCTACCACTGCGGTGGGCATGCGTTTCTGGACGCAACGCTGGATATGGATGAGGACCAGCTTATTGAGATCCTCGATGGCGATGCGAACATCCTCTCCGTCAAAGATGACCATAAGCTTGGCCTTGAGAAAGTCCCAAGCATCTTCCGGTGTCATGTTATTCAGTCCAAAGCCCTGGAGGGTCTCTCGAAGAGCCGCTTCCGCAAGGACTCCCGTGGAGCTGCCCAGCGACGATGGCCCCGCAAACGTCCCCGGCGCAGGTCCCGACGAGTTGGCCACCCAGTCCAGCTGTTCTGACTCTAATGCCTTCTCTTCCTTCTTCTTATCTCGTAACCCGTGGAGCAGATCCAGGCCACTCACGCTTTTCCCAAATGTAGTCGTCACCGCACCTGGCGAAGCCGGGGTAAAAGAATACAGCGACTGAGGGGCATTCGGATCCGAGGGTTTCGAGTTACTCGACGCCGACGACAGCGGCAGGTTGTAATGATCATCTCGGTCTTTCAGCTTCAACTTCTGCCGCGACAAGAAGTGATGCTTGTGCTTATCCTTATCCTTCTCTTTCTCCTTCTCACTCCCCACCGGCTTATCGGCCGGAACCACCGTACTTGCCGACGCATTCGACAAGTTGTAGAGTGACGAGTTATTCGAGGGAAACGTATCAGCCAAGCTCGTCGTCGACGCACTCACGATCCGTGATAATCCTCCGCTCGGAAAACCCATCTTACTCGGCGATGGCAGGCCCCGGTCCTTGCTGATCCCGTCTTTATCCCGACTAATCCCTATATGTTTCGGTTTCGAGAATAGCTTCATCTTCGATTTCTCGCCCTTGTGCTTATGCTCCCGCTCTACGGGCGGCTCCAGGCCGGGCGGCTGCAGCGCGGGATTCCGGGGAAACACCACATTTGCCGCCGTCGTTGCGGCATGTGTATTCCCATTTGTAGACCCACTCTGATATGATGCCCCGGATGCACTTCCCGCGCTTGTTGGGGGCGCAAACAACGGTGCTGGAGGCGGCGGGGGCGGAGGGGAAGCGCTCCCGCCTCGTCGAGACCGGGAACCGTCTTCTGACACACCCCGCACTGGCGGAGGACGCTTAGGAGGATTCTGGGGAGCGGTCTGCTGTTGCTGGAGCATGGCCGCCTGGGCTGCGATTCTGGAAGCGGAGATGGTAGCCTCGGAGGAGGACGCGGTGGGGAGGGATGGCTCGAAGAAGCCCTGCGAGTGGTGACGAGAGCGTCTCTGCAGTTCCGGCGGGCCACCACGACCCGACGGTTTCCTGCTCAGGATCTCACCATGAGGCATGAAGGAGACGGGGGATCTAATCGTAGAAGAAGAAGAGGAGGTAGTATTTGTGGTGGCGGTCGAGATGGGAGGAAGAGGAGCGGTGGTGTTGGCGGTGATGGATGAGGTACGTGGAGGACGAGGAGAGGAGGTCACCGACACGGCACCGGGATTGAGGGCAGAGTGACGCGGCGAGATGGTGGTCACATTGGAGGTAATCGACGAGGCATCACTGCCTGAGGAAGCAGGGCGGGCGTAGGAGAAGTCGTCGAAGGAGCGGCGAGGGGGCTGTGAAAGTGGAGGAGGAGGAGGATGATGAGGAGGAAGAGGTGAGCGAGACGAGGATCGCTCGGGCGACACCGGCGAGCGCAACATGATGTGAGCGAATAGAGGGCTTCGGAGACAATGCTATCGAGACACAAACCCCGAACCCATGATATGAAGGGAGGAGGAGAAAAGTCGTGCTGGCGGCGAAACCCAGTCAGTCTAGATCCCCTGGATTGATTGCTTGCTTGTTTGGCTTTCAGCCGCCTTGGGGAGGATCAGCAACCGAAAAGGCGCCCGGCCGGACGATCTTCGCTCGTGAAACAAATCCAGCGCAAAGCAAGTCTTCCCCTCCCGCCCGCACGTCCTTTCTTTCTCCAACTTTATCCATCCCACTTGATTCCTTCCCCGCGACATATACCTTCATTATTCCATTCCAATCCTCCACGCAACCTCTCACAATGTCTGCCAACAAGCTTCACGCTGCTTATGTCGCTCCCGACCAGTCTCGCACGTTCGAGCACAGCATTTCTTCCCCGCTTCCCTCCGCCGACGCCGTCCCTCAGAAGGTGACCTATCTCGCTGAACTACGCAAGCTCGTACCCACTCTGCAGAACGACATCAACGTATTCCTGACCGCGCGCATGGAAGAGGACAAGAAGGCCGCCGAGGCCCAGGGTCAAAAGGTCTCTGACAAGGAAGCCAAGGAGGAGGAGAACTACGGAGAGGAGGTTGTGGAAGAGGATGCGTGATCCTGCCATACCCGAAATTAAGACAATCGAGAGAAAGTGTGTGGATGCTACGGCTGACGAGGAACGAATCACGACTAAATAAATCATATGCATGGATCCTTGAATACCGCTATCCCGGGGTATCATCGTGTAGGAAATGTCCGCCACTCCGGTATGCTTTCGTTGAACAAGACATGGCCAGGAAATGCGGAAGGAAGATCAAACAAAGCGAGAAAAAGTAAAGAAACCAGGAAAAGCGCACAAAAAACCGCGATAACCGATACACAATAAACCACAAACCTCTATATACACACAAGTCAGGCTCATCGCATGCGATTGGCACAGCCAAGATGGACAACCGTGTTACTGCTTCAGTTAGCCAGGCTCAATTCAACAGATCTGGTTATACTCACTCCGGAAACACATTAATCACACTGCCTCCGATCCGCTTGTGGCAGATGCCGCAGACCCGTTCTTCGGTAATGGTGACATGTCGCGAGCGCGTCGATCGCCCGTCTGTCCCCTCTCCTACCAACAATTGCGCCTGCGTCTTGATGTCTTCTGCCTTTTGCAGGTTGGCCACGATTCGGCTCTCGTTGAGGATTGTGTTGGCGGCCCTCATACGGCCCTTGAAATAAAACTCGAGCTCTTTGACCGGGAGCGATTCCGGGATCAGATCCAGAGCAGAATTGGGTGGCAGCCGGGATCCGTGTTTGGCCAGTATCTCAAGCGCGGGCCCGTACCGTGGCTTGTAGCCATGCGGCGGCGATAGATATAGAGACAATAGAGTCAAATAAATCGATGGTTTGTCATCCTCATACGGCAGTAGAGCTACACAGCGCGAAGCCGCTCCATCCGCAGCAGTCGTATCCTCCGCTTTATGGAGATGATTACAGTATCTGAACGGTCAGCAGAACTCACGTAAATCGATAAATGCAACTCACTCTTCAGCCTTGACGTAGTCTTCCAACTTGAACACGTAGATTTCCAGTGCCTGCCGGTGTTGTCCCATTTTGCTGAAGACAATCGCTCGCGCCTCGAAGAACTCGGGATCTGTCGCAAGTCAGCAATGCAATATAAGCGCAAGAAGGGTACTCACCGTCCCGGTCCAATCGATCTAGAATCTTAGCCGGAGAGTACTGGGAGCTGGACTTGAGCATATTCAGGAACTTGCTCTGCCAATTAACATAGTCATCCAAACTCGAAAACTCCCACTCTTTCGCTTGATGCTTCTTCAGTCGTTCCAAGTAAAGGACGAGCAGTTTCTGATGCAAATCTGGTGTCATATCATTCAGTTCCCCAATGATATGTTCCAGGTATCGGACAGCCAGGTTGACGTCAATGCCCTGCAGGAAGTCTAGCACGCGGTCTCTTGGCAGCGTCTCCGCGTTCTCAGTATCTGCCAGGAAAACCTCCATCCCCAGCTCAGGATCCTGTCGTACCGGCCACTCAGCGAACTCGAGGATCAAGTCAATGTGGTCTGGAGACAGATTCTGCAGATAATTGACTGTTCGCTTCGGCCCGTGCAGCTGCGGCGCCGTCTCTTCTTCCTCGTCGGCTTGTCCAAACTTCTGGAGTAGCTCCAACGCCTGCCGATGCAGCTTCTTTCCGTATAGGAAGTCAATCAGATCGTTGTGACGTCCCGTCTCCTCCAGCTTCTCCATCACCACATCCGGGTCGCAAAAGTTGGCAATGCGGAACAATGACCCTGCCAGAGCTGGAATAGCGTACATGTACGCCCGGAAGAGAGTCGTGTCCACGAGTCTTGCCTTTTCTCGCAGCTTTTCCCCAAGATCATACTCACCCTCCGGATCAATGCTCAGCAGCTTCATGACCGAGTCCGTCAACGCATCGTTCGCGCCGTCCGTCGTCGCATCAATCACCTTTAGTGTACCGTCCGGGTTCAAGAAGCGCTGAAACCGTCTCCGTACGTCCGCCAGATACCTCTGCAGATCACGAACAGCCAGCTTGAGATCGGCCCCTTCCAGCGCCTTATCGCTCTTGGCCTCCTCGACCACCTTGCCCCGGATACTGCCCGCATCGCTGGCATCATCTGTCCGCGTCCGCAGAAGAGACATCACCGACGGAGCATGCGAGAGTGTCTTCGGCGCTGGCGGCTCCTCCGCAGCCGGCGTGTCGGTTGGGCTATTGTTCTCTTGCGTCTTAGACTGGCTATCTGTCGTCCCATCTTCGGACCCCTCCGGCTCCTCGACAATCGACGACAGCTCCCCCGCGATGATCTTCGGATACAGTCGTATCACCGTCTCCGGGGGCGCAGATATCTCCGTAAACAGATCCATCGAATCCGTATACTTTCGCATCTTGAACAGCCCTTCAGCCTTCTCCAGCTTGATCTGGCGCAGCCGGCCCTGCTTATCCCTCAACAGCGCATCCTCCAGCATACTAGCCAGACTGATCGCCTCGTCCAGATACCCCTTCTCGACCAGCGAGTCAATCTGCGTATCATAGCTCAGCGCCTCCATCCGCCATATCGTCCGATCACTCGCCACCAAGAACCCCTTCCCAGCATGCGCCAGACTAATCGTCGGCTGCGGGATATGCATAATACTGGCAGACGGTAACGGCACCGACTGCAACAGTGACAACGTCTCCGGATTCCGCACCTCCAACACCCCCTTCGAAGCATCATGCAGCGCCAACAGAAACGGATACGAATACCCTATATCCGCCGGCGCATGACTCCAGGGTATCTGCCTCCTCCCCAGCGAATTCCCCTGCACATCAATAAAATGTGTATTGATATCCTTCGCCAGCAACACCTGACCCTCCTTCAACCTCGTCGCCAACGGCTTCGGCGCACTGCCCCCAAGCCCCATATAACTCATACTGGCGACTCCCACACCGGCCAACCTCCCCGTACTCTCCTGTCCCCCTAATCCCCCAATCCCAGACGGACCAGTCAAATCCGTCACTGTCCCACCAGCATCCCCCTCAATATCAACCATCACAAACCCTGACCCCAACCCAGCCACCAACCTCGTCCCAGACACCCACGTCAACGTCTTAATCCCACTCACCAGCGTCATCTCCATAGGCCCGCCCGCTTCCATCTCCATATCCCTCCACACCCACACCATTATCTTCCTCTTCACCGCCACCGCCACCCTCGACACAATAGCAGGCACTCCCGTTTCAGAATCATTCTCGATATTCGACGTCACCGCAAACGTCGTCGCCCCCTTCGTCTTCCCCAATTGCTCCTGCAACGAATACGTCCCCAGATCATGCAACGACACATATCCCCCGGACAGAGAAACAAGCACCTTAGCCTCCTTAATCAACGCCAACTGCTCGATCTTGTACCGCGAGAACTTTTCCACTTCGCGGAGTAGCTCCGTGGGTTTCTTGCTGTGCTGTTGTTGTTCCCGGTTCCCGTTCGTAGTCCCGTTCGCGATTATCCCCGTCTCTCCGTTGCCGTTGCCGTTGCCGTTTGCATGTTGTTGCTCGGTAGTAGTATCTTTCTTCCCCTTCCCCTTCCCATCACCATCCTGCTGTGCCTCCACCTCTCCTTCTCCTTCTTCTTCCTCCTCGTTCACCCGATATATCCTCAAACTCCCATTATTCAACCCCGCCAAGACGCGATCCCCATACGCCAGCACAGACTCGATGCGTGATCGATCGCGCGGTTTGAGTTCCACGAGCGGACGGGCCGTGAATGCGGATAACATCGTCGACAACGAAAAACGTTAACCCCCTGTTTGTCTTTGCTGCTCTTCTGCGTATGTATGTATGTATGTGTTGTGTATATATTCAAAGTTATCGGTAGGGCGGTGTGCTGGCTGGCTGGCTGGCTAGCTAGCTCGGTAAGTTGTGGAGGATGGATGCTCGGGAGGTAGGTAGGTAATGCGCCGTTCGCGATCGATCGGGAGTTAGGTTCATGTCATGTCGTGGGTGTGGAAAATGTGCAATTAGTCTCTCTCGGGGGAAGGGCGGAGTTATTAGAAGGTGGAGGTGGATGTCATGGTTTGGGTGTTCGTTGTATGTATGTAGGTGAGTGATGTGGTGCGGTTCGGTGGTTGGGCGGAGGTTGATTGATAGCGGCGGAGCTCCTACGGAGGAGTGAGTGTCCAGCTGGACCGGACAGCTGCCCTGCCTGTCTCCCCGGGCCGTGTGCCAAGATGGGTTTCCCCGGCTGGCTGTGTCTGTACTACAACTATCTCTATGTATATTCTGGATTATCTCGTGACAGCATCCCTTGCGTGTCATTTATTTTAAGATAGACTTGTAGCAATGATTATGTCAACGTTGTCTTGAGTATCTAGTCTATTATGCTAAGCTAACCGATGGATGGATGTCCTGCACACACCGCTACTATCCCATCCATGGGTGTGCCATCCGCTGGCTTGAAGCTCCGATCCCATGCAATGAATCAATTCCATAACTGCCAACCGACCGATCAAAACCCATAACACAGCCCAACGGACCGCGACCGACAAGGAATCCGGACTTTTGCAAATATCAAGACCAAAGAATGGAGTGAACGCACGGCGCATGTACAATGTGAAGGTAAGCCAGATTCCGATCGGGAATGAGAGAAGGCAAAACCAATAGGTAGGATAACTATAAGACCGGAAGGTCTAATGTGTATCAAGCTTCAAATATAATAATAGTCGTCGGAATGCCTCTCAGATCATGCCTTGATCTCCGTGGGATATTCCTGGTGTTTGGCCGACGTGCCCTTCGCCCGCCATGTCGAAACAGCGGGGATGTCTGCCTTGAAGCGCTGCTCGTCGGTGCCGTATGCGCGCGGTGTAAGCTTGATCAGCGTATGGAGCGGCACCTCCATCCAGGGACTTTGCTCCTGCGGCGTGTTGAGGAAGTAGGCATAGATGCAGCGCAGCACGGCCTGGTGTGTGACAATGATGACGTTCTCGCTACGCTCCAGCTCCATGATAATTGGCTCTAGCCGGATGACCACATCGCGGTATGACTCGCCACCCCGGTAGCGGTAGTTGTACTTGTCCTCGTCGCGCGCAGCAAAGTCTTCCGGGTACTTCTCCGCAATCTGCTCGTACGTGAGTCCGTCGCAGACCCCGGAGTCGAGCTCATCCAGCGCCTTCCACTCTAGCTTCTCGAAGCCCGTCTCCGCGGCGAGATGACGAGCCGTTTGAATCGTACGTTTCAAAGTTGACGTCCAAATAACGATCTTGGTGTTGGGTGGGACCCCAGACTTCTTTAATAACCCGGGCAGCGCTCGGGCGTATGCCTCTCCTCGCTCTGAAATGTTGGAGTCGCCGCCAATTTTCCCCGTTAGATTATATTCTGACTCGCCGTGCTACATACGTTAGATCAATCGTACTTCCAAGAGGAGGAGCACTTACTCGAGATAACCAGATCGAGCGAGGTTTGATGTGAAGGTTCTGGATGTAGTAGACCAGCCGACTGGAAAGGTAATCCTTAATCTGATTAATGATGACGGTCGACCCGACATTGATGAGTTTGACGTAGGTGAAGTGCTTCTCGTTATCGTCAATGGTCTCATAGACCTTCTCGTAATTGCGAATGCGGTTACGGAAATCGAGAGCAGCAACTTCCGGGTCCTGCCCCTTGTAGTCCGGCGACGTTGTCTTGACTTCCAAGATGTTGTTCATGATCAAGTCTTCATCATCACATATTGACTCGACGTATAGTGTTTCGACGTTTGCCTCCTGACAGCGTTCATGGATCCAGCGCCGTCGCTCTTTCGTAGAATTGGTCGCATCCAAGATAGCTACGACGCCTTTCCCGGACTGAAACCACTGGAGCATGTCAGACACCGCAGCCTCGGCGGCCGCGCGTCTCATTTTCTCGCCTTCGGTATTATGAGGGTCGAAGAAATTCGCATTGGGCTGTGGCGTGCCTGCACGACGGTAGCTGCCGACGTTGAATACCCGAGCGGGGATGCCAACCCAGGCAAGATATCGCATAGCTGCATCAATTAGTGCCTGACGTCCAACAGCCAAAATCACCAGAGCGTACCTTTTCCAGCTATGAGACTCTTGCCTCTGGCTGGGAGGCCAACCATGACCACACAGATCTTCGAGTCATCGGACTAAGGAGAGTAAGTCTCTGGAGTGCTGCCATTGCGAAACGACGTAGATGCCCAAATTGAAAGTAACAACTTGCGACGAAATAGACATGATACATAATAAACAAGCAGCGTTGCAGCGCATTATGTTCAGGGTCATCGCAGACCCGGGCAATTGCCCCTCCCAAAAGGAGGGGTATACAGCCTCACCGGACGCATGGCCAGGGCAGTACATAACGTCACCGGCAACACTGGGTTACCGCGCCACTCAATCAACAGACAAGGACAAAAGAACCGTTTCACTTACGCTGGCAAAATAATTATGGCCATTGCCCCTCCGAATGGAACCGGACGACATGATGAATGAGCGGAAGGAATGAGCAGGGAATCGACTCCTGACTGGGATCGACTTGAAATGGGATGAGGCGAACTCAAGACCTCGGCCACCAGGGGTGCCCGACCGGACGCAAGCCGGAAGAAAGGATATAGGGACGGATAAGGTCAGTAGCGGATAGAAAGGCACAGAGCGTGAGAGTAGCGAAAGTGTGCTAGAATCTGCAAGTAATGGGACGTGTCGGAGGGAAGAAAATGAGAAAATGTTCTAGAAAGTTGAGTTTGGACAGATCCGGCCTGTCTTTGGTATGGAGGGGGGAGTAGCAATAGCAAGTAGTACAAAGTAGTGGAAGTAAGTCAATCGATCAACAGCAGCTCTGGTTGGATGCCATTAAACCCAACAATTCGATGCGGTGAAGAACAAGAAGCACAGACGTCATGCCGCGGGGCAGTCGCAACAAGGCCGAGAGTTCCAGGCAGGAAGTATCCAGTCCTTTAAAAGTGATTCATTCACTCCCTGAAGGTAAATCGAAGCAGCTCAGAACACCTCTGGAAAACTTCGGTCGCAGAATATCCGGGGAGATGGAAATTTCCCCAGTCTTTGCCTGATCGTCTAGCCCCCCGACAATTTCCCTCCGAATTGAACTAGTAATAGTAATATTGCCTCCCTTCTGTCCACACGTGATCTCCTGCGTTTTCGTCGGGTAAAATCGCGTCCGAATCTGGATGGAAGAGGGGCGCGTCGGGATGGATGAAGAGGAGTCTGGATCTGGACGTAAAATCTTGGTGCAAAGTTCCTGAGAGGCTCCCCTGGTGACACTTCTTATAGTCGAGGATCGCATGATATGATACTTCCTTTGTACTATCATCCTGAACGATTTGATATCGAATGGAGCCACGCCGATTGGGTCCCTTGCATGTCTCCCTGGTGGGACTTTGGACGACTATCAGCCGAACTCCTCATTACCCCGTACTCCTGGGGTCGATTTACATGAGCGATTTTTCGCCATAGTCTGGACCCAATGAGCCCAATATTGGGTGATGCTCCGGTCGATTCCGTCTAGTTTGCGGGAATTGAAGTTTTCTCGAGTGCGCGTGACCGATACAAACTACTACTACCTACTATCTATTGACTGCGAGATATACCCGAAAATGGAAAACGTACAAGAGATGATGGATATTCATGAGTGATTATGTGCATTTGTGGATATTATAGATAGGTAAATTCCAGGCGTCCTGCTATGCAATGCTTTTGCCGGCCATCGGGCCGATATTTTTAACCGTGTCCCCCTTTTTTAAGTCTCCGTCTCCGTCTCATATCCGTACGGTAGATGCGTAGCCCTACGGATACAAACGTCGAGGCCATCGATAGATGCTTCAGCGCGGGTTCTTCAGCAGCCCTGCTAAGCATTGCCCCTTTCCGCAGACCCATGGCGTGCCATTGGCTCCCGGTCCGCGGCTTATCAACGGAGGCGGAGGCGGATGAGCGTAGTTCGTAACTTCTTTTTTTGGGGTGGAAGCCCCTTATTCATATCGTAACAACGTCAGGCATCTATTTTTAGTGTTGGGGGTGAAGTCTGGTTCCCATGATGGATGATTGCTCCGATGTGTCGCGCTAGTGAGACTATGCGGCGGCCGCAACCTCCTCAGCAACCGGGGTGGCTTCGTCCCGGCTGGACGACCACTTGGGTCTCCGCTCTTGCGAGTTGTTCTCTCCGCGGGCTCTCTGGACCCGGAGAACGGCACCCCAGGGACCCTCTGCGCGGTTCAGCGCGTTCATGGCATTCTCAGCCTCCTCGACGCTGCTGAAGTCGACGAACAGGTAGTAGTGGTCACCGGGCTCGAATCTCTTCGCGGGGTGAGGAGCGAACAGCTTGCTGACATTCTCACTATGCAGCCAATTAGCATCCCGGACAATCAATACACGCAGGGACCGATCCATACACTTTGTAATCCTTGAAGAAGTTGGTCATGTTGCTGGTAATGGCCTCCTGGTCCGTCAACCTCGGGAGGCCGCCAACATAGAGGCGACGGCTGGGATCGCTGTTGGAGGGGGTACTGGCAGTGGTGGTGGTAGTGGTCTTCGACGGAGTGCGCGGGGGCTGGGCCTCGTCGCCGCGGCGCCACCGGTCCATGCTGAACGGAGAAGAACGAGTCTCACGAGGGGAGGCATCCGAGCGCGGCTGTTGCTGTTGCTGCTGCTGAGCCCGCTCGCTCTGGGTCTTCACGACACCAGGCTTGATCTTGACGGGACGACCAAGCATGTCCCGACCGTCCAACTCCGTCATGGCGCGCTCGGCCAGCTCCTTGGTCTCCAGATCGACAAAACAGTATGAGGGGTTGCGGCCGGTGAAAGGATCGATGGCGATGTCGATACGCTCGCTATTAAGCACTCAGTTTGAAACTCCCACGGGTGTCTTCTGTTCAAAGTATTCATACATTCGGAACTCAGCCGCATCGAAGAGAGCCTGCACATCCTCCGACTTGGCCGTGTAGGGCATGTTGCCCACGTAGAGACGGCGGCCCTCCGAAATAGCCTGGGGCACATGCGGGCTGGGTCTGCTGAATGCAATTCTCGAGGTGCTGGTCTTGGGACCGGGGGACCCGGCAGCGGCGCTCTGGCCACTAGGGCTCTCATCGCGCTTCACACGCCAGTTGGGGGAGTGGAAGGCCCGGCCTGTGGTTCTGACCCCATTCTGGAAGACATTCTTTTGGGGAGCTAGGCACGCATTAGCGATTTAGGATATGGCCGTGAAAAATTGGATTCAGCCCCAATGAGCAGCCCAATGCGATCGCCTACACACTTTGTTCCTGGGGCCTCGGGCTCTCGGGAGCGTCGACCATTGTGACGGTAGAATGTGAAATGAAGGGTGAGGGTATAGTCTATGGATTCAAGGTTCGTTAGTATGGATTGACACAGAATTTACTTATTTCCTAATCGGACAGACGATCATGGCAGTCAAAAGAGGGTATTCATACCGTGAACAGGACAAAAGAAGAGTCACAGAAAGCCAACAATTGCCTTCCAGAAAATGTCCAAGGCAAGAGAAAATCCCCCGGACAACAAAAAAGCGAATGCCAACACAGAAAAAACGTCGACGCTGTAGCCTGCGTCAGAAAATTGCCCTCTACATTTTTTTGATGCGAAATGAAACCAAACAGCGCAAATGCCGCAAACAGAACAAACAGCTGGGGATGGATTAATCTCTGCGCTGCCGATGATTGGCCTGTTAGCGAACCGGGGGAGATTTTCTTCATATAAAGCCGCCCTTTGTTTTTTCTCATTCCATCTTCACTCACTTCCATATCTATTTCGACAGCAGCCTTTGAATCAATTCAGATCTCTGCCTAACATGATGACTGTCTAATGGACAGCAGCTTCAAAGCTACGGAATTAATGCATTCCGTTATTTGCTCTGCAGATCTGCAGAACCATCACCAATACTTTTCCCTTCTCTTTGTTTATTGCTTTTTCTGTTACCAGCGTTCCACACATACAAGTCATCCTTCAATGATGAAGCAAGATTTCACACAGACCTGTTCCGAGTTTACAAAACATGCGGATCCACGATCGTTCCAACTGCTGTCTGACGATGTGATGACTTGTATTCCCTTGCCCTTAAGATAGATTTATCAAAGAATGAATTTTCCAACATCGTGAAATGATACCACAATGTAGTCAATTGTCGTAGAAAACATGTCCTATCCTCTCATACAATTATAGAACTCATCCTAAGGCCCTCGGTATTTGCATAGCATACCCTGCCTATCAGGGACATGATAATCCTACGGATACTCTAAGGCGATAGTATAGTACTCCGTATCTGCCCTGGCAATACTATAAGTCAAGGGCAATTGATACCGTCATTGTCTAAGGTACATACTAGTAGCCCTACTTCTACTCTGATTATACTATCGAATGGTGTGGTCTTAGATAGTAAGTACTTTGATAGTAAATACTACTTGGACTTGAATAGAACACCGTACCCGAATGAATACAAATAGAAGATAGAGCTTCAAGTATAAGCAGTAAACTCATGGTATATAATTTTCACTCACTCAAAAGAAACACTACCTCGGCTCGTCACTCGTATACATCATACTAATAATTACACTTTCCCCATCATCATCCCTTTTTGATATCCCAGCACATATAGGAATATCACCACGATCCAACCAGAAAGACTACGTACTATCTTAGTACTCACCCCTCAATCCCCAAACCGCACCCCCAATAACCCCAAACACCAATATATGCAAGAGAACCCCCAACCCGGACATCAGCAACAACACCCACCCCTGCAACTGATTCTTCACCACAACCTCCGAATACCTCTGATCACTAAAGCTCACCCTCGAATACAACGTCTTCCACCCCAACAACGGCACATACCGCTGCAAGGCCTCCTCGACATACTTCCTCGCCTTATAAACCGGCGAATTCACCCCACCCCTTAACTCCAGATAATTCCTCCTGGAGAGGTCATGAATAGCATGCGCATCACGAACACGCTGATTCGAGTACTCCGTCAACGCAGCGGCGCGGGCATGCTCCTTATTACTATTATCCAACAACTTGCCGTGACTGAACACGCGGTGCTCATCGAGTAAATCGAAGAGGATCCGAACATCCTCCATCCCTGCGTTCAGTCCCTGGCCGTAGA